TTGGACTTGGCATGCTTCAAATAGTTTGAGATGACCCTCCAAAATCTTAAACCCTGCGCGTTCATGCTGAGGATGCAGGAGTCCGCCTGCCATATTCTACGGAAGAGGTCTGCAGATGGCTTCACCGGCAGGCAGACGCATCTTGAGCAACTGTTCCGGCTCGGTCTTGTCATGGCACACGATTCGACGAGTTTTTCTGAAAATCGAACGAAGCACTGAGATACTTGCTACATAGCTCTGCTAGCCCCATGCTTCTATTCATCCACAACGGACCAACGGACTCCACCACTGGCGAAGCAGTCACACATGGCGCTGCCCTTCAAGTTCAGTACCTTGGTATAATTACTAGTACCGGTTCTTCCATAGGTCACTGGCAAGGTACAGCTACCTAGAGTAGAGTCTTCTCCTTCGCTCAGTGGATTATCCGAGTTACAGTGTCAGACGTTGCTTTAGCTAGGTTAGAGAGCTAAGTAGTATCTCAGATAAGATGTTCGAACTCGATCGACTCGGAATCTGTGTTGACACCGTTCGGGCCCATGGCGCAAGCTACGGTCCTTATAATAGAAGTATGAATGAATGAATGCGCCATGCTTTATTTGACAAACATCTATGAAACTTAAAGAATGGCACTAAGATACGTGAAATATCTGAAGGTTCTCTTCATCTGACGGCCTGTTTTGTCATCTTCAGGATATCGACGGCTATTAGATGCAGATCCGACTGGGAGCTGACGAATGGCAATTGGCAATCATCTGCTCAATGCTTGGCAAGCTTTGCCAACTTGTAAGCTTGGGTCATTTGTTCATTCGATCATTCGAGAATTTCTTGAGATCAGCTTGCCTTTGCACGCCGCTTTTGTAATGCTTCACCTCCTTTCCTACTCAATCTGGGAGTCTAGGACCCACTTTCTCCTTTTCCAAGTCAGTGCGATCGACTCAGGTCTTACTCAAATGGCGGCAGCCAATGAAGCGCGCGGGCGTCGTGGGCTCCTCCGGTGGGCACACCAAGTTGATGACCACCTTTGGCAACTGCTGGTGCCAGGTAAGAATGTGGCATCTTTGAGGGCTTCATCAGGTTCAATCAGACTTTGTGGCTAACTTTGAGCATTGTCTAGGAAGCAGGGCAAGGCAGAACAAATGCACTCAATGGTGCTTCTCATTGCCAGCAAAGTTCTGCGCATTGGCGTGGGTGTTGTTGTCGATGTTATTGCCCTGATGATTCAGTCAATGTACTCCATCTTACCTGTTGTTCCAAACACTCAGGCTTTTTCATTTTTGTCTGCAGGCTGAACTGGAGCTTGTGTACTCCAGTTTCAGAAACCACTCTGATGTACCTTTAAAAATGCTGACGCTGCTTCGCTGCGCTCCATCCACTTCGTCTGGCCTCAGTTGCAGGCTTTGCTCCTCATGCAAAGTGAGATTTCGCTGGCGCCCGACTTGTCTAGCGACGTTGTTCATATCGCAGTCTCATGTTATGCATTCCAATCTGTTTTGTGACTTTTTCACTTCTGGATCTACAGCATGAAAACCATTTCTAACCTCAATTTTCTGCTGCAGGACTGGGAAAGTGGAGCTTGCGTACTCCAGTTCCCGAATCGTTCTCTCTTCGCCAGACCTCTATCTTCGTTGAACGCTTCCTCGGCGACTTGCTTCGCTTCGCATAGCTCCTTATTAGCGTTCGCTTGCTGCCCGTACGACGAGTCTTTGCTGGCGCTCAACTCAGCTGTCAACATTATCTGGACAGTAAGTTCACTCAATCGAAGCTGCACATGCTAAGGTTATCTGTTCCTTTCAACCTCTGGGACGAACTACTCGCTTTGACGCGTTATGCTGACCATATTCTAGTGGCAGAGAATGAACTTGATGATATGACGTTGTTAAGAGAAGCCTGTACTCTGCTATGCCTCGCTCCTTGCAACTTCTGTATCTCGTTCTTTGAACCAACCTCCCAGTTGATTGTCAGCTCTAGGTTCTTCAGCTCTTGCTTTGCCCTCCATTCTTCGGTGATTTGTTGGCGCCCGAGTTAACTTTTGGTTACTGTATCTGGACATTCACAATCAACCTCAGCTGCTCTGGTGACAATGTATCTGCACTCGCTTTCTCGTTTGTTTTGAACCATTCAACATGCATCCAACTCAGCTCAAAGCTTTTAGTACTTTTTGAATTTCTGCTCTTGGGAGCCGTGACAAATCCATAAAGCAAGTTTGACTCTTTGAGACACTCTTTTCGCTTTTCCCCAGTGTGCCATAGGTGACTTCCACGTATCACATTGCGGTTTGAGTCGCCCGGCTGCTACGTATCCAGAGCTTTCATTTCAGCAGTTCAGCGCTCTTGACGGTTCAATCTTTGCCGCTGACACCTTATATTTTTTCTGACAGCTTCCGATGAGTATTTACTGCTCGTACATGTTTTTTACATCATCTGCGCATCTAAACTCGCTTTACATTGCGCCAGGTACGAGGTTTCTTTGCCACTCGCGGTCTTTCTCCTTATGACCTAGCACCCCACAATCAGACACTCTTCTACTTCCAATCAGTTTCCCAATGAACAGGGTACACAGCTGTTGGTATCCACGTCATCGATTTGCTGTGCGAGTATTGCAATCTCGTTTCATACCTTCTGAAAATGTGTTGGCAAACATCAGAGTTGCTCAATCTGTCGCCCCTTGCAGGACTTCTCCGTCGACTTGCCGAGCCTCTCAAAACAAGTTGCACCCAATCCTTCAAGCAACAACATGCTTAGCTGTACGAGGCGGCTTGAGCTCTTCTGACATTGTCCGTAGGGGACAGATTCCATCAGCATCGTATTCGAATTCGGTGAGTTTGGCGGCCATCTGTAGGATTGCATCGGATACCCATTGAGCAATTCAAGGCTCCTCTCCAATCTGACCATGAGTCCAGGTCCTTTGAACAGTCTATTTGTTCTGGCGTCTCCTCAGTTCTCGTCTCATTCATTGACTCAAGCCTCCAACCGTCGAGATCGTCGTTATGTTACTCACCCGATTCTCAGTGCAAACTTACATGACTCTGCTGTTCACACTGTGCTGTTCATCAAAAACCTTGCCAAAGTTGTTGCAATCTGCTCTTTATATCTAGCTTTATCATGTGCTTCGCGCTCTGCCAGTTGCAGTCTGACATCGGCAAATGCGATGGATACGTGTGGGTCGCTTGTTGACTTTATTACTTTATTTGACGTTGGAGCTTCAGTGCTTGACTTCAGGCTTCGCTCCTCTGCAGGCCTTCGGTTATGATCAAATGCAGTCCTGTCGTGCATTGGATATTGCAGACAGTCTTAGATTGGGCCAACGTACACATTTACAGCCGCTCCATTGTTGTATCATTTAGACAATTGTCTTTTGAAGACTCAAGACGTTCTACCACGTTCCCGCTGCGCGCCTTCAGCCTATTCTGTGGTATCCAATATCAGATGCGTTGTAAACCATAATTGATATGAGCCAATTGTGATTGCAAATTCCCTTTGTGTCATATCGTATGCTTTCAACTACAAGCATTGATTAAGTACATGTGCCATTCGACTTGAAGATCCGCTTCTTGCACATAACCATTCAACGCCATGATTGGGTAATATTCTAATATAGAGTAATATGGACACTTGCGCTCATATAGCTGGACCATGCGATGTCATAATGAGCTATCATCCCGCCGTCTGACCATCTCGCCGTTCTGGATGATCGGATATCTTGCCAGGCCCAAGCCGTGGCGAGTTCTCGAGGCGTTGTGAACCGTATATAACTTCGTAATTGGTGCAGAAGGCCCCCAGACTTCAACAGAGGTACATTTTAACCAGTTTAACCAGCCTGCGCTCGACTGCAGGGCCTCGTTTCCGAATGTCGACAGGCCTACGGCCATCCGATAAGCAGGGTCCGTTCATCCGACGGGGACAATGCAAACTCGGACCATTCAGGGCCTAGCCCCCTGCGACAGCCGGGTTCTAATATGCAACGGACAATTTTATGAAAGCCCGTGCGTATACCCGTAGTCCAACGTGATGATTCCAAAAGATTTTATTTCGAATATTTTCCAACAATCCGACCAGGAAAGTGGAATTATTAATGCTGATTCCGAAAACAATCCGAATGCCCTATGGTCTCACTTAAATGGGGAGTTTTTGGCTATTTTTAACAGTTTACGGCTTCCGAGGACCATTTCAAGGTTATTTTACCTTTCCGAGAATCCACTTTCCGAATGGGAAATCCGAATTTTTGACTTTCCGATTGCAAATAATTATCTATTTATTCGGAATCATCACTTTGGACTACGGGTACCAAGGCATGGCGCTGTGCAGCGCCACTCTCATGCCGATTATAGCCGGTCCCACATCTTGCACTGCCACGTGATCATCGAGCAATCGCAACCACACGTTGTAGGGTTTGGCAATGGCGTCCTCCTTGGTTGCGCAAAAGACGGAGTGCTATAGCGTCGTCAATTCTCCACTGTTTTCAACATTGAAAAGCAGTAAGACACATGCTTTCAGTAGTTGCGTGTCTTACTGCTGAAGGAATGGCAAAAAATATAAGACTTCAATTTAGGTAAAGTAAGGTTTAGGTAAAGTAAGCCAAGCAGCCTGTCAGCCTGGGACGGGTAGGGTTAGTTAGGGGGTTAGGGTGGGTTCGGGTGCGGAGCGGGTGATTTTCAGGGTTAGGTTTTTAGTGTTAGGCTGGGAGCTTACTTTACCTAGAGCTTACTTTACCTAAATTGAAGAGACATGCAAAAAATGGCTTCCTTTGAAAGCCTTTCGCTAGATTCTGTGCAAAGAAAGCGCTTGGTCAAGTTTTGGGTTTGTTATGCAAGATGTGAAACCGGTTATAAATGGCATGAGACTGCAGCAGATTCCGCTGGAATCAGGGGCTTCCGATTGTCGAGTTCGATCTAGACTGGGGTCCACAGTCCACTGTTTCGCGGTAATTGATGAAGTTACTCCCTTGCATTGCCTATAACCTTTACCAACTTGAACCGTCCGGTCAAATCCAGGATCCTGCCACCCCCTTTGAAGAAGAGTTCGAAGTTTGAACAGCCACTATGCCTCATCAGGCTCATGCATGGGGCAGTACGGGTGATACCATGTGCACTTTGTTTAGAGGCGGCGCTGTTATGCAGCAGCCTGAGCAGGCTGAGCAGCAGAGTTTGCAGTGTGCGAGAGACTGTAATCTGTGAACGTTTGGCATCATTGTGGTGCTTCACGCCGATGGTGGTGGCGCTGCCTGGGGTGCTCTGCTGAAGAGAAGGCTGCACTGTTCTAGAAGGCTCCTAGACATGGCAACCAGCTTCGCTGCTCGCCTGGGAAATGGCGCTCATTGCCCCATTGCACTGAACCCTTCTCAGAGTCCAATGCTGGACTGCAATCCTACGATTGCGAATCTTTCCCCTTTCAGAACGCCCCTGCCAGCTCCGAGCTTGAAAGTTGGTCGTCGCCTCTCAGCCCAGCCTGCTAAGTATGCGCGCGGAGGACCAGGCAGAAAACCGGTTGGAGTAAATGCTCGGAGGCATGGGGGATGCAGTACTATATGTGCCTTTGAAGGCTCTTTTGCAGAACGACCTCTGGCAGCAGAAGCGCGCCGGCTGCAGGAGAGTGACCCAGAGGCAAAGCACGAGGTTCAGGCCACAAAGCCAATCCAGCTGTACGGCCGGCCGACTGAGTGGCCAGATTATGGGATTGGGCCCAGGCAGCAGAAGCGGGAGCTGCTGGAGCGACTGCGGCGAGAGGGGTATTTTGTGTCGGACAGGGTAGAAAAGGCAATGCATGACATTGACCGGGGGGCTTTCATGCCGGAGACCGCCACCATTGGGCGGTACTCCAATCTGGTGGTGGAGCTGGGCTACAACACGTTTATGCACGTGAGGGCGCCGCAAACTCCATGCTTCAACTGTCTGTCTGAATTGCCCTTGAAGCTTTGAGAGTCGTCGATGTGGCCTGATTGATCAAACATAAAATCACCAGTGGTATGGTAGGACTGAAAGTGAAGGCTGCTATGAGAACAACAAGGTGATCGATGGCTCAAATGCCCCTTGAACTTTTCTGCTGGTTGAACCCTCCAAGCTACTGCAGTGAAATAGATTCTTGGGGGCCTTCGGTCCTCCAAATCACGTCATCGTCTTCTTCAGAGCCACTCAACATAGTCTGTTTTTAGCGCCTCTGACAATTAGTCCCCATGCACGATGTCTGCAGAAGCCAAGCTATCATGCAAAAGTCCTGGAAACGCTAGAGCCCTACTTGCAACCTGGGGCGCGCGTGCTCGAAGTAGGCTCCGGTTCTGGCTACCTGACCGCTTGCATGGCACTCCTGGTGGGCGAGAGAGGGAAAGCGGTGGCCCTGGACCACATTCCGGAGCTCATCTACGCCATGCGGAAGAGTGTTCAGCAGACGCCTGCGCAGAAGCTCGTTGACGCGGGCGCGCTGTCTTTCGTGGTCGGGGACGGGCGGGCGGGGGCGCCGGAGTTTGCACCTTACGATGTGGTGATACTGCTAGAGTACTCGCCGCGGTTAACCTTACCGGTTTACACCCAAGTCAAGGAGGACGGCATCCTGCTCACCTATGCTATAAACCCTGGCGAGATTGAGTTCGAGCAGAAGCTGATGCGGAGACGGCGAACAGGGGAGGTGGACGAAGTGGGTCGCGTCGTGGGTTCAGGTGACTGCTCTTTCGAAGCATTGCAAGTAGTGCATGTCAACCAGGAGGGCTACTCTCCAATGCTGACGAAAGCAGCTCAGAGAGGCGCTGGATTTGTGTACCGTTGAACACTTCAGATTCCGTTGAACTGCCTTTTTAACTCTGTCACATATCAAAGTGACCGTGTCACTTCGACGAAAATTGGTCACGGTGAAAGTGAAGCAGTAGATCAGCTGTCGCTAGCCGATCAATACTGCCACTTTTACACCGCAATTGCTGCATACACTTTGTCTGGCAGCCCGCACGGTATATGCCATGAGTTGTCTCCCTTCATGGAACTGAAGTTATCCAGCCATCATGAGCTTTGGACCTGCGGAGATGGATTAAGTATGTTGTTGGTCACGGAGCTGTACGATGCGCGTATATATATACATCGCATGATCGACGCGCGATATCTGGGGCTCAGCCTGGGAGATTGTATTGGTCGAGGGCCAGCATCCTTGTAGATATATCGGAGCTAGTAGGTACCTAGTCTCAAAGTCTTAAATATCTGTAACGATCTGCAATTAGACGGTGAGTACAAGGCGGCTAGCGCGCTGATCTGCAATCACCTATATGCTGCAGGCATGGCCCATGCATGCATCATGGATCGAGCTAGACAGCTACCTGCAGCCTGCTCGAACCGCCATGCATGTTATGGAAATTCTCCATGTAATATATATTCGTGAATATGCTGCAGTCATGACGTAGGTGTACTGATGATTAGCTTGTCAGCCCGACATGCCACATGCGTATACTTTTATGGTCATGTTTGTGTATATAGAATTGGGCATTGAGTCCTGACCGGAACGGTCGCAGGGCCTAGTATGGCCGCTGGCAATTGTACACCAGGTCGAAAGATCTTGGAGAAAAGCACCTTGTACATCTTCATATGGTAATGACCATGCAAGCACATGAGCATGCATGTCCAGCCAAGTGCGCCTTGGATGGCTACCACTGATAACTTAAAAGCGTTGTTCATTAAGTGCAAACAGTCACAAAGATACGAATGTAGATTATTTTCTGATCAGTGATGCTTTCATAAGGTCTCTGCTTGTACTTGCTCTTGCCGTGTCTTCCTGTACTCAGGATGATACCGTCATCTACCTCTGTTTTTTGCCTCGTCTAAAGCTACATGCCACTCTCACAATAATTTAATCGCTAAGAACCGAAAATAGGTCTAAAATTCAACTCAGAACTTTTCAAAGTCCGAAACTGTAACAACTGACCTGTTAAGTTAAGCCATACCGGAACAAGTTACGAGCTTGGGTATTGACAGCTGCTGTTTGGGGACGGATCTACCCTTGTCAGAACGGCAGTATTGTTGAAAAAGCATGCCCCGGGATCCAACTTGTGCGACTGATAGTAGCTGTTGTAGGCGTACGATGCAAACGACTGCGCAGAATCAAGGGCACAACAAATCAGTTCGACGTCTTTGCATAACCAACAGAGTAGCTCGAGGAAGCATGTCGGATGGGCCGTCCTGATTGTCACGAACCAGCAGGCAAAATGCTGCTCGATGTTGACGTGGCAGAAGTAGGCCAAAGCATCAGATCGCCTTGCGAACATTGAAATCGACGCCAACACGAAGAACGTGTTGCGGCTTACTTACAAGCGGAAACGAGGCTCGACCAACATTATGCATGATACACAATCAGCGTCAAAAATCAGCGTCAAAAATATAGCTAAGTTACAAACCTGTACGCGATTGGCCACCCCCAGCTGCACGTAGCACGGCCCCCCTGGCTGGATTGCAGTGCAATCCGCACCCCCTGGCCCACACGCATAGTTGAGGCCCGCAGTCAGTTGTTGCGAGTCTGCACTCGAAACCGCTATGCACCAGGTCCCGGTCCGGCTGGTGCTGTTGGCCGCTGATGGGGCGAGTGCGGTGGTGTTCGACAGTGCTCCTGACGGCGCCGCGGCAGGGACCCCCGATGACGAGTTGCCCGCATACTTAGACTGTGAGAAGAAGCAAGAAAGGACGTCAAATCCAGAGCACCTTTCGAGCGGCATCACAGATCAAGATAGGCTCCTCTTCTCTTGGAACCTGATCTCCTCTGTCCCATAGGCCCCCTGGATGTGCCTACCAATTTTGGCGGGCTGTCGATTCACCAGATTGCAGTCTCGTCCTCTCTATCTCACTCGAAACTTTGTAGGTGACATAAGAGTTTTCGAACTCACTTTTGCAGAACATACAGAGCCACCAAACGTTTCCACGCTTCTCAACCTGACATTGAAAACTTGCTATCTGACCCTCCGAAATCGAGACGCTTACCGTCCCGTTCGCATACAGCAGCCCCCAGTGCAACTCGTAATCCCCAATGCCGATGGTGTATTTCAGGTCCTCATCAAACAAAGCAAAGATGTAGGATTTGACGGTGCGGTTGGGGTACCGCGGCGTGCCCTGCCCACCGGCAAGGGGCGAGACGCTGTAGGTCAAATAGTCGCTCGCGTTCTGGAGAGTGGCGCCATAGCCGCCTGCACTGGGCCAGCCAGTCTCGCCCAGCTGGATGAAAGGTGGATGCGGTCAGTCAGTCGAAGGCTGCGGTAGTGTCGGAAGCCAGCTCGACATGTCCTCCTTCGAAACGAGATACTAAAAGCACTCTAACAAACGATATCTTCAGTTGCACACATGCCGGATTAGTCAGGCGCATAAAGAGGGCAAAGTGTCCAACCGTTTTCGGTCTGCAGATTCGCTCACCTGCAATGAAACGTTCTGAGCACCTTGCGGGTACAACTTATTCATTGCAATATATGTGGCGTCGATCTGGGCGGACAGAAGATCGGAGTAGTAATACCCTTGATCCGTGAACCCGTGTCCAGGTCTCCCCACCGCAAAATCGATGTCAATAGTGTTGTCATACTGCGTACAGAGTTCAACACGAATTGGTCAACAACGGTGTACGACCTTGACCTTGGTTCGCCACGGGCAATATGAAAGACAAATGTTTGTGCGCCTCGCTAGACAAAATTACAGAGAATGACAAATACTAAGAAATGGTACAGACAGCCTATTACGCCACTTGTAAGGAAGCAGATACATTCGGAGATGACGACACAACTGCTGGCAGCTTTGTTCATGACGCCTCCAACACCCATTGTTCTCTACAGCTGACGGGACGTCAATGAAGCAGGGGGCATGAGTGAGACACTGGGGTCCAAGAAGGGCACTCTCTGTGCAAGAATGGCGCACCTTCAGCGAGACAAACGGGTACAGGTTCAGGGTCAGGAAGGAGCGGGTCTGCGCCAGGAACTGCAGCATGTCCAGCAGGATGGGCTTCATGGGCTCCTGGAATTCAGAGACGGAGGGGGGATACGTGTTGCCAAAGGTGCTGCCCGCGTCCATGGGCACCGTCAACTTGACGGTGTCGTTCAGGCCCCGCTGCTGCAGCGCAAAATAGACACTCCGCACGGCGGGCATCACATACGCCCCAAATGTCACATTCAACCTGCAGGCGGCAAAGGCACAATTCCGTCTGGTGCATGAAGATTGCCACCGCAAACTACTCACCACCGGCATCCCTGCTAACAGATTCATTTTACACTGTGGGAGCAAGCTGGAAGAAGATGCCTTCACACCAGGCAGCTGCAAGTGACTGCAGGTGGGGGCTAACCACAGCTGAGGTGCGACGATGCAAGATGGTTGCTTGATTGGCTTACCCAAGAACAAACGGCTCATTCCCGACCGCTAGGGAGGTTATGTTAACTCCTTGTCTGATCCACAGCACCACATTAGCGTCCACCCAAGCCAGGGCATTGGTGTGTGCAAGGGCAAGAGACTGGTTGTAACTGGAGACGTTCATGACCTGGTCCAAAGGCATGAGCACCTGGAGACAGAAAAAACAAGCTCAAACTTTTGAACAGATTGTCAGCGGAGTGGTGCCTTTAGAAAGCTGATGGTGGCCATGAGTCAAAGACAGGCTAAACAACTGCAGTGTGCTCATAGCCCCTGCTTTTACCATCATTTCTGAGGGCGTTTATTCAAAGCTCAGGTGCCCCCATCTACAGATTACAATAGTGGAACAACATGGACGGCTACTGACCATACAATTGACAACTCTTTAGTGACCAGGCGCCAAGTGACATACCTGGACTTCAATACTTGTGTTTGCAAGCGCCCGGAGGTATTCAGGTGGTGCCGAGAAGAATTTCACGGAAGTGAAGCCCGCATCCTGAAATCGAAGAAGCGGCAGAGTTATAGAGAGTCAAGCAAGCGCCTTGAACTATCCAGTTCATTTCATAAGAGACTCTATTCAGAAAAAGGCAGGAAGCCAAAAATTTGTTAAAAATCTGATGAACAACGCGAGCTCCTGGTCAGTAATTCAAAGCTGGCTAGGCATAGGTTTTCTGTTTGACACATGTGCTGATGGGGGCCTCCCCCAAATCTTGGCTGCCAACAAAGAAGTCTGCTGAGGTAGGCAGGAAAAGTAGGGCAGGAACTTTGTCAGTTGTTATACCTGTAAGATCCGTACGGTGACATTGCCAGGAAGGGGCTGTGATGAAAGCACTCCCCAATTGACACCAACATAGTTGGCCCCCACAGATGCGGTGGAGTTGCTTCGACCACTGGGAGTGGACGAATTTGCAGTAATATTAAGGGCGAGTGTGGTGTTGGCAAGAGCGGTAGAGTTTGCGGCATCGGCGGTCCATGTTCCACCAAGAAAGAGCCCGCTGGCGAAGAAAAAGATGCAAAACAGCTGACTTTGCAGTGTGTCCATCAGGAAACAGTATTTGCGTCCCGCCATCTGTCGTATGCCCCTTGTCTCACGTTTTAACACTGACAGGCAGTCAGGATGGGCAGAAGGACTTTAGCAACTGCGTCAGTTGGATGAAAGACAAAAAAGTACCAGAACTTGAAGAGGAAGAGGGAAGTCCGAAGAGGGAAGAGGGAAGAGGGAAGAGCTCCTCCAGATGTCATGCTGGAAACTAGGTGTACGCGCAAATGCCAGAATTCCAGCATGAGCCCTGGGGCCTGGCGCGAATCAACACGAGGCCGATGATTGGAACCGTTCAAAGTTTGTTTTGAGTTTCAATTGACGGTTGGATGTTATCGCAATTTGAAAGTGCATATCAAAATTTCAAATTCAAAAAGGGCGCATCATGGTGTCCTAGCCTCAATTTGGTAGAGGCTTTGACTGTTTGACACCTCTGATTTCAAGTTCTTAGGTACCTAAGGCCCAGGGCAGAACGCCAGAACGGCAAGCACGCTCCTGCCCTGGCAAGCACTGCTGACATCTGATCGAAAGACGAGAGCTCTGATCAGGGACGAGGTGGAAAAAGGATTACAAGGACCGAAGAGAGGGGATCTGAAACGGACTCAAGTTCTCACATCTATACCCTAAACTTGAAAGTGGCCACTTGGCAGTGCATGCAGTGCACACATAAAGAGAATGCACACGCTATGTTTTAAGAGAGCCTAAAAAAAGCACCAGCTTTTCCCCAACCTGAAGTCAGGACAATTAATCCAGCCTTCTTGAGCTGCTTGCGACAGCGGCGGCTGGTCTTGTAGCTCTCCATAAATTCACGTCTTGACTGATTCATGATAGCGACAAAGCTCTGCATTGGGGACATCCTGTCAAGGGCATTGCTCTAGAGTCCAGAAGAAAGGGCAGAACATGACACTTTCTACTGGTGAATCTTCCAGAGCACTGGAAAGCATGGAGGATATGAATGATCTTTTTGAGAAGCCTGTTCCTGTTCGTATTAGCAAGGCAGGCCATGAAGACAGGCAGGAGGAACTATCTGTGAGGATAACACTGGGTTCAAGCCGGCAGAACAGGAACACCCGGGTGAGTTCAAGGAAGATGAAGTGAAAGCATGTACGAAGGTACTAAGCACCTTCAAGATCATGGATTTGCAAGACTTTCTGGGACTGCTAATGTATTTTTCTGCAATATAAACAGGATGCGGCACATGGTGCAAAGCTCCAGAAAGGTCTGCAGCTTCTGGAGACCAAGATGGTACTTCTTGGTTCAGGATGCTGCCATTTTCGGCAGGCGGTGCTGATTAGGGTTTGGGCATGAACAAGCATACAAGCAACAGGCGGGTATCAACAAGCTATCTCAGTCAAGCAGACTACTTAGATGATCATTTTTGGGGAAACTTGCAAGTGTTGCTTTCAGCGAGAAAACTGTCAGGGTCTCTGAGATGGTAATGTTCCACAGATGGTTCCTGCTGCCCACACCGCAGGAAACATACTTTGCTATCGAAGCCTACTGCTCTGCCTGACTCCATATCTGGTTTTTAGGTGCTGAGGGTTCAGCTCACAAGTGAAGCAGACCCGTTCTTTGTCCACACTCTGGAAGTCAGCGAAGAGGACTTCCAGTCCCTGAAAGTGGAGCAGTGCATCCTGGTCGACTTTGCAACCTTCCCTTCCAAATTCATTGAGCTGCTGGAGAAGTGCGTCGAAGCAAGGGTACAGGCTTCCCCGAGGTGAGAACCTCGCACTGGTCTTGCCTGCCAAGGACACTGAACAGCATGGGCTTACAAAAGTCTGCAGGTGGTCCTTAGATAGAGAAGCGAGCACCTGATGCTTCCTACCATCTTGGCGACTTGCGAACTTTTACTTGCCCTTTATTTGCAGATTTGTTGCCATTCTCCGGCTCCGAGGCGGAGACTCGTCCGTCAGCATTGTAGAAACCAACCAGTTCAAGCATCTGAGCCACATATCCCTGAACTTTCGTCCTGGGAATGATGCTGCGGTGAAGCAGTATCTTGCAGGGAGGCTGGCAGAGTTCAAGGTGAGCCCTTATTCTACTCGCCCACACCGTCATTTTTATTTCAAGGCAATCTTTTCTCATCTTTTATGATGAGACTCTTGCATCTCCTCACACTGGTAGTTACTCTTCCCATGCTGTAAACTGATTCCTTTTTAAAAGTGAACGTTGGTGGATTCACAATCAAATGGCTGATAATACAACTGAGTTGGCTTCCCTGTGTACAGGCAGCCAACCATGACTATCACGAAAAACTAACAAGGGCACTGCACATGCTGGACACAGCGCAAAAGGATAATTCGAGGTTGGCAAGGTGGGACGTCGTACGCACTTCCTGTCTCCTCCTGCCATCTTGACTGACCTGCCAGCGTCTCAGCTAGCTGCTGATGTTCCTGACAGTCATGCTTCTTCCATTCACATGGCAACCAGGTGTAGCCTTCTGGTTTCATCACTTACCGTTTGCGTTCTTCCACAGTGAGGTATCCAAGCTGAAGGACAGTAACACCCGGTATGTCAGCGAATTGAAGGGCGAACAAGCATTAGCGGTCACCGCAGAGAAAGAGAAGGTAGGGTGTTGCCCTTTGAACTACACGGGATGATTGCTTCTCGCCCTTGTTGCAATTTGTGTTTCTTGGCCGTTTGGATCTGTTAACAAGTCCTGAAATCCATGACGAATTTGCGAGCGTTTTTCGTACACTCTTGATGCTTTCTCACCTGTTTTGCCAGGCACTGCAAGACTTGACCAGTTTGAAGGACAGGCTTGAGCGGGAGCGGCTAGAAACCGAGGCCCGGTACAGGGCCCAGAATGACAAGTTGCAAGAGCGGAACACTGACCTGGACAAGCAAGTGCGAAGCTTGTTGGACACCAAGTATGCACTAGAAACGCGATTGGCTGAGCTGAACGGCAAGCTCAACGCAGTGGACGATGATCTCCAGCAGATGCAAAAGGTAAGATCGGCCAAGAATTGTTGATCCGTATGAGTCACGCTGCTGATGGCTTGCATCCGATTAAGCGTCTTGGACGATTTGCAAATTCGATGACGACTGCATGGCAATCAGCACTGGTCGCCTCGTCTGGTGAGAGCTTCGCTTCGGATGTTTCTGTCAATCTGAATGGTGAAAACTCCGCTCAGGGTGGCTTTGTCAAACCGCTTGTTCTGGCTTCCCTCAGGAGTGCGAGAAGCTCCGAGCAGACAACAAGGCCTTAGACGGAGAGAAGCACGAGGCCGAAAAGGTCCTCAACAGGCATCTCATTCGGCTGAGTGCCCTTGAGCAGCAGGTAGGTTTACGCTTGCAATTTGTTGCCAATGCTTTGTTGGATAGTTCGAAAATGGGGACTTGACTATGTGACGCGAAGCTTGTCAGAGTGAGCTAGAGATGCCTTCGAGAAATCGTTGTCCCCTTGGTGACGTCAATTGTTGCTCCTGTAGGTTCACGACAAGGAGGAGCTTCTGTCGAAAGTCAGTCAGCAGCTGGAGAGTGAGCAGAGCCACCGAGCGGCAGTGGAACAGTCCTGGAAAGAAAGCCAGGCTGCGGCAGCGAGGGCAGAGGAGCGGGTCACAGCAAGCGCAGCTGAGATCAACAAGGGGAATCAGATCATCGAGAAACTGCAGGTGCGCGGCTATTTGTAAAGGTCTTCAGCTTGCAAGATCCATTTCTTGACATTCTAAAGGGAATTCGTGACATCTTCGTTTCTTCTCTGACAACCTCAGAACGTTTCTGAAAACCCGATCTGATTCTCGTCAATTCTGTTCGCCACCTTTCCAATCGGTTGCAAATCTCCGATTCTCAGTCGTCTCCATTTGCCTAAAAGATTTTCGCCTAGACCGGAAGATTGGTGCTTTCTCTTGCAGACGGAGCTTCGTGCCAGCAGATCGAAGCTGAAGCTGAAGGCAGCAGTCACAGCGCAGCAAGAGAACCTGCTCGCCGAACGGCAGGCGACGATCGAGAAAAGTTTGCGCGAAAACAGTGCGGTCAGGGAACAGGTAGCCGAGCTCAAGGCCGAGAATGAGACCCTCAGATCGAAGGTGAGTCGATACCTTTCATAGCGGTGCACAAACCGTCTCTTCCGCATCAAAACTTCCTGTATCCGGTCACGAACCGCCACACGAGGATGAGATCAAATGGAGGACGGGGTCAAGTGGAACGGCTGGGTTGAGCGACGCAAGCGGATTTTTGAGATTCAGACTCTCCAACGTGAGAAAGCCCGGAGCGTGGAAATGATACCGAAGAGATTTCTAAAGCCATTCTAAAGCTCTGTGCTTCTCGACTCCCCCAAAGAAAACACGCCGTTGACGCGCTTTCTGTGCTTCTCAGGCTGCGGACCTGAAGGCCAAGCTGGACGAGGCGCAGGAGACGCTCAAGTCGGACCAGCAGATGATCCAGTGGCTCAACACCCAGGTCACGGAAGCGCAGCTCGGCAAGCTCAACTCCGGGCCGGCGGCCACGCGCTTCTCCTTCAAGCCCATCACGTCCTTCACCGCACCGAGCGCAGCCCCTGATGCTGCCGCGCGGCCATCGGCCGGCACCTCTTACGGTGCGTCATTCCGGCAGGCTCGAATTCTGGTTTTATTTCATCTTTCTCGACGCTCGTCTCTCACTTGTCAAATGCGGATGGAATCGAGGCTCTCATCTTCGATGTGTGGCGCAGACAACCTGGGACAACGCGCAACCTTCTCCCAAAGTACCGCTCTTTCTGAAAAGCGAAAGACCTTCGCAGACTTGGCACTCCTCCCCATTCTTCCAAACGCCTGGCAGGCTTGTGGAATCATTCTCACACGAGACGTTTGTATGCTCATCAGGCGCCTCTATCCCTGCCCCGACCACTCGTCCCTTCACAAGCGTTCCCCAGCCGCACAGTAGTGCCTACAAGGCGCCAACGGCAGCCGGGGGAGCACCGCTGTACACAAGGCCGGGGTCGGGCCCGGCATCTGGTGTCCCTTCGACAACCACCTCGTACAAACCTCCCAGTAGTACGTATGCATCCATTCCACCGGCGGGTGGCAAGGTATTGTACAAGCCTCCGAACGGGAGCGATGGTGACCGCCTGTCTAGTGCGACCTTAGGCCTGTGGCAGGCTCAAGAGGGCGCTCGGCCGGGGGCCTTCGACACGGGTTATCGAAGGCCAGTAAGCAGCGGACTGGGTGTTGGAGGATTTGGGAGCTTAAACGCGGGCAAGAGCCGAGAAGACGTGGGAGTGCAGAGAATACCGACACCTTTGCCTGCCGTAGCAACGACAGGTTAGTTATCATCTTAGTCCAGCTCAAAAAGCGCTACAAATCCAAAATGTCGAGTTGACTACATAGTTCCACCTCTGTCAAATACACGAGGCTCAACGATCGGGCATCTCAGCCTGCTTTGCAAGCGATTCAAAGACAGAAGACGAGAGAAACAAGCTCGCCCCTCCACCATTGACGATATTAAATGAGGGGGGCACGCTATGTATGGTGGCCCATCACCTCTGGGGGTCTAGTCGACTCGCTGTGGTTGCGAAGCAATCCATAAGTCCTGTGGCACAATAGCAACGGGTCACGTGCTTTGCAAGCCCTTGAGCATTGCAGTGGTCAATACAGTTTTGGTCAGCGCATACACCATGCCCGCTGCAAGTCCCTCCAGTAGCTTGCAGTATGGGTACGAGGCCGTCTGGCATATAAAACATTGGAAAGATGTCGATCGTTGGAAGCAGTTTCCATGCGTGCAGGCTGACTTAACAATATGTACCTTGCGATGCATGTGCCGTCCCCGCGCGGCCAGCATGCCACGTTGATGCACCGCCATGTGCATCATGCAGCTAGACAGCGGCGCGCCATATCATAGTGTTGCAACTTGCATGGTACGTAATATCCCTGCAATCCATGTGCACATGCTTGATTATGTTGTTAACGGCATGTTATCAGAATCACCAAATTTATTCGCGGTAGAGTTTTGAGAAGTTCGAAAGATTGCACCCGCCATATATTATATATTGCACCTAGTGAATCGACATGATGTGACATGCTAAGCTTTAGTCGACCATCAGGCTGAGATCGATCAAGGACGAAGGGTTCAGATTTGTATTTGGGCTGGTATAACGTTACACCTATCACCTTCAGCTAGGACACCAATGAATATATTGCACCTACATACTATTGCACATTCCTCCTGGGCCGCTATATCAGATGCGTGCTTTCAAACGCTGTTACACAAGGCCCATACTCAGGCTCGGACCATTGCTACAGCTGCCTGCTTTATTCTGGTCTATGTATAAGTTTGTTACGCCCGCTGGCCGCTTGATCTAGAAGCTGTTGAAGCTCGTCAAGCTGGTTCTGGCAATCTCCTCAGATTTTACTGTGCATAGCCTTCCACTGGCCCTCTGACAGTGGCCGTAAAAGGCCCCGTGCTTTTTCGGAGCCAATAGTTGTGAACTTACCACCGTAATCATGACCTGGGTACACCCTGCAGAATCAAAGAGTAAATGAGCATCGTTCTCCCAATAATGGCCGCCACATGCAATCCGACGGCTTCGCAAGGAACGACATGTACCTGACCACATACAATGGTTGGCCACTGCCAAGCAAGAGGAGATAGCAACGTCGTGATCAAACATAAGCTAGAGGTTGTCACGGATTTGGATTCGCCTGTACCATGAAATTCAGTGCGGAAAGCCTCCGTCCAAGCTCGCGTACCTTGTATCGTCTGGCAGGGTGGCCAGCTTCCTTTGCAGGCTGCTGTACATGGCCATCTGGTCGCAGTCAGGGAGATCCAGCCGGCCACAGCTGCAGGCGGGGAGCCAGATCTCAGCCCTGGAGTGCCCCTCAATCATTCCTGAAGCGGCGACGTGCGAAAAGACAGCTACTACTATCAACGTTGGAAGGAAGGCTTGTCCTGGCACTGCGGAAGTTGCTGCAGAGCGACCTCACATGGACAAACATATTGCTTTCCGACTCCTGGTGGCTACAGCGAAATACTGCTCTTCTTCCATCGTGTCAGCAGCTCGGACGCAGAGAAGCAGTCTTACCTTCCTATGAACAGAGTATCGCCCGAGAGGAGGGCGCCAGTTGCGTCGTCCGGCGTCCGCTTGATCCGCACGCACATGCTCCCCGGGGTGTGGCCCGGGGTATGCAGGAACTTGAGCTCGACGCGCCCCACGCGCAGAGTCTCCTCGTCCTGCACAGCAGAATGCCTTCACGCCTCAAGGAGCAGGCACTGCAGCGGCTTGTCTCGGAAGGACATTGCCTTGAGACGGTAACCTGTAACTTGAATACGTAGATGGACTGGTTCTTTAGACAGCAGGCTAGCTCGCTCGAAGATGGAGGACCCCGTAAACAAGCATGTCACGATGTGCGCAGCAGGGGAAGGAGCAAAGAAGGTACCTGCACTTCGTGGATCGACGATGCGGGAACCCGGTTCTTCTCCCGAATGGTGGCTGCATCGTCCCGATGAACGTACACCTGTCCCAAGATTATGAGAACGTTAGATCAATTGTGACATGTCAGCCCAGCTGCTCATAATAATGCACTCTGTCTCCCAAGCGAAACGCACATACGGCTGCCGTCAGACAAGTCCTGTGCTACCTACTGACTCTCGTGCTACCGGCGACGAATTTAAAAACAATATCCACGTCAGCGCCAAGCTTCAAGTCAATAGACTCCGGCCCCTGCCGTTTCAGTGGCCCGTCGCTCACCGGCACCTTGGCTTGTTCCGCCACCTCCTTGACCCCCGCCAGCCGGATTCCCAGGGAGTCGAACGGCGGTGGCGGCAACCCCCCGGTGTGATCGAAGTGATAGTGGGTCGCTATGGCGCCCACCAGCTTCATGTGCTCCGCTTCCACACGGGCCAGGATGGCCTGCAACAGATGCACACGGGAGATCGGTCTTTGAAGAGCAGCAACAAACCTTCACTGTGCAATGACAACTGGACTAAATCGGCTTGAGGTTGCTAGGCTTTTCCTCTGCCTTTGAATGTCAACTTACTTGTTAGATGGTGATGTCTGGATTCATACTAAAAAGGTGCTTTGCAGAAGTTGCTGGTAAGAGCGCTGACCCCATTGGTAGTTACAATGTTGGTTGGTTGGGACGGCCGCCGTCATTTTTTCAGGTACGATCTTGGACCTGTCCGGTATCCATCTTCACCTTGCCCAATCGGCGCACAGGTGATGACATACTGATCTGTTACATCCTCATCGTGGCAATGCTGAGTTCCATAGAGGACAACAGAATCCTTCTGTAACAGTGACTCTGAGAACGGGCTCCCGCACCTTGACATCCCACGCTGGGTCCACCACGACGCACTCGCGCGTCTGAGTGTCGCCTACCAGGTAGCTGAAGTTGCGCATCTGTTGAGCCGCACTGAAGACCTGGTTCTGCACAAAGTTGAGCATGCCGCCAGTGCCGACGGCAAAGTCTCGACCGGCGAACAACTGCAAACACCAACTCGCACCGGCTGAGAAAGAGGGAATGACGATGGTATGAAAGGCACCAGTACATACCATAGACAGACTCCCAGGCCAGTCACCCAGCTTTCCAGGTTAGGATCCATAGACAGCTCTATCGAAGTGCACGTCTTTCTTTCAAACCTCAAACGATTGACGTAAAGCCTACTTGCCTGCCTGAAGAAGTAGCCACTGTTTGCTTCTTTGCACGCTTGCAGTCTTCCCCGCACATGGGCGTCATCTGGAGCCTGCACAAGTGCCGCTGGTGGTCAAGCAGAGCTCCAGATCAATGCTTCACAAGGAGCAAGGAACAAAATGGACCTGACATTCTCAGAAGACACAAAAACTGTGGGCACAAAAACCAAAGACCAAGTTGCAAGAAACAGTCACCCTCATTGGACCATCACTTGATCAGCCAACCTTTCGAAGCACTCAATCACTCAGGAGCTGCAAACTTTGGGCACAGGTACTTGCCAGCTCATGCGCCCTTGCGAATGCTTTTTCTGCGCCGTCAAAGTCCTCCAGTGCAAACAAGGCTTCTCCAAGGCGGAAGTGACCCTGCATACAACAATTCCCCTATCAACTGAGCTCCATGCATGTGAGAGCGCATGTGTGGCAGAGTTGAAGATGTTGAGGCACAACGTTCTAGCACACATTCAGTTACACATGACTCATATCGGCCCTTTCATCAAAGTAGTGGCAGCACAGGGTCAATGCACGAACGATCTGAACAAACTTTTTCTTGCTTGTAAGACCTCAGCCAAATCAAACGTCCAAATCAAACTGATGGTGGAGTGGTGCACATTAAGCAGAGGACCATACCTTGTTCCATTCTGGCCGACAGGTGACTGCGCGGCCCGCCTCTTCAGCTGCCTAGAGGCACGACAAAAACCAAGTCAACTTCAAGCAAGACTCTGCAACCAGCATCAGTGCCACCAGGATCCGAGACTATTCTGCAAACTACAGGCACCTTTTCAACATGGCCGACTGTAACCAATTGCACAGGAACCTGAGGATACGAAGGACAGCAGAATTGTCCATGTCATCAGAAAGCTCAGCTCAGTGGTGCCTACCTGAGTAGCCTTGCCGAATTTTAGAAGGGCGTACGAGCGGTTGCTGTGCAATGCTGCAGCTGCTTCGCTGCCTGGCTGAACGAACTTGAATGCCTCTGCATAGAAGTCGGCTGCCTTTTGAAAGTCTCCTTTCGCAACAGCTTCATTGCCTTTCTTTTTCAGATCCTCCATCTGATTGCTGAATCAATGGAGCACGCGATGGCTCGGTACACAAAGGCAATGCGTCTATCACCTCTTCCTGACCTTCGCTAGGCTCCAAGGCTGAAATTGAAGCGATGGAGGAGCTATCAGAAAGCATATGCAGATGCGCAGCTTTCTCTTGCGAGAAGGCAAACTGCCGCAAAGCTTGTTCTCCGGGATCCCCGCAGATCGATGGCGCTGCCGCCGGCTTGCGCGGCCGGCAGCTTGCACGTACCGCGCGCGGGACCGCGTGCGTACATTCACCGTGTGCTTTACTGTGCCACGCGCCGGCTCAAAGAGGGTCCGCCTGCATGCAATTGCATGCGCCCGAGGAGCGGCTCCGAGAATGACCTTCACACTGGAGCTCTCAGCTAGGATACGATAGGCCTCCCGCTAGCGCCCCTCTGGTCAGGAGGACGCCGAAGACACATAAAGCACTGTTCGTGGGGTCCTCGCATCAACCGATCTTTCGCCGCTTATCTTCTGTCTGAGCTTCGAAGGCACCTTGGCTCTTTGGTCGAAGACGTAGCTTCTAAGCAGGCAAGCTACGAGGATGTCGAGCGGGCCCGACAGCACCACACAGCGCGAGCACGTGCGGACGCACGGCTCGGCTGGGGGCGGGGAGAATGTGCCCGGGGAGCAGAAGAGCACCGGGACGGCCGTGCTGGAGACGGGTGCGGCCGTCATGCAGAGCTTCAAGCCCATCAACCAGGTGGGGGCAGCTTGGGGGGACAGGCTCAAAACAGAAGACTTATATTGGCGGTCCTTCAGTACCTAAAGAAATGTTCTGACGAATGTTCAATCAGTCAATTCTTTGAATACTTCAGCTGGTCACTACACCCTTCGTCCTTGGTGAAGATCTCTCCTGATCATTCAGGGCTAGCTAGAAGTTGCATGTGATGTTCGAAACCTGTGCTCTGTTTCTCACCGCTGTGATTGTCTGCGCCAGATCAACCAGCACGTGTGCACCTGGGCGATGTTCCATGACAACCCCAGCCGCTGCATCGAGACCCACCACCACGTGGCAGCAGTGAATGACGACTTCTTCCAGTGCGTCGTCTATGATTCAGACAAAAAGGATGCCAGGTAGCTGCCCCGACACGCCCACTTAAAAGGACCAGTGTGGGGGGGGGGTGGAGAGGGGAGAGCTGGGGAACAGCTTGCAGGGGCAGGGGCGGGAGGGGAGGGGGAGAGTGAGAGTGAGAGTGGTCGGTGTATTGGATTTGACCTCTGCTATTCAAGCTTCCTGTCCGTTTCTGCAGCCGCTCTGGCGCTCTGATAATACCTTCTGCTGTACTGGTACCACTTACTCGTTTTCCTAAGCCAGAGACAACCTAATTCTTTTGACGAGTATGTTGATACACTCTGTTCAATCGAGCCAATTGCATCTTGGAAACGAGGGTCTTGATCAATTGCTTTAACGGTTTGTTAGCTCTTGCTTACCGTAACTTCGTGTATCTTACTCTCTTCTTTGTATGCAGGATTGTGGGCGTGGAGTATGTGGTGTCTGAGAAGTTGTTCCACACTTTGCCAGACGAGGTATGCCCCTTCTTCCCCAATTCTCATTGAGCCTTTCGAAACTTCGATCGGTCACCAATCAGTGTGGCTCTTCTTCTCTGTTCCGTTCGATTGGCCGCTATACAATTGTCAGCATTGCGCTCTGCGCACGTTTCTTCTTTTTTATCAAAACAATATCCGGAAATCGACTAGCAAGTCAAGATCGATGAACACGCCAGCCCTGTGCAAGGCGGCTTTTTCTGCCAAAAGCAGTCGACATGAGCGAAGTCTTACCCCCACTCCGGGACAAGAATTTCCTTCGAATTATGTCCGACTCGTGGTCCCCTCCGTTTTCAGGAGAAGAAGCTGTGGCACTCACACTTTTTCGAGATCCGCACCGGGCTGTGGGTCTTGCCGGGCGTGCCGTCTGCGGCGGAGCGCGGCCTGCTGCCCAAGATGGCCAAGACGTACGGCAAGTTCTGGAACACGTGGCAGACCGACAAGCACAGCCTCCCGCTGGGCGTGCCCGCGCTCATGACGTCACCGCAGGAGCAGGCCCCCGTGCCGGCGGACCTGGTGGCCGCGCGCGACAAGCGCTACGGCATCTCGACACAGGAGAAGGAAGAGGAACGGCGGGTGAGCGGGTTCAAAGCATCTCAACACCGCTCTCTCAAATCGGAAGCTCGGCGGGTTGTTCTGATTCTGCACTCGCGGAGAGAACGCACGGGAGTTTAGAGAGTAGAAACGAAACGCTTAGGTTAAACGAGACGCATGGCAAATTGCTTTGTCAAGGACTGACGGACCCTCTTGAAGTACCACGGGAGAGAAAGTTCTAGGCAAAGAAATTTCGCTTTGAACCTAGATCACAACCCAATTGTGTATATCAACAGGGGAAAGCCGAGGACTCCAGTTTTCGGCGGTCCAGAAAGGGATTTTTGAAGGGTTTGGCTGGAGGTGTTCGTTGACGTGTCCCAGGCTCGCTCATGGTTTATCATTTGTGCGAGTGTTTCCTCTTCCACACTGCAATCTGTCCCTCAGGCGCGAGATGTTTCGACTTACGCAAAACATTGGTGTTGAGACTCTGTGGGCTTGGCGAGCGCGCTTCATAACACATCGACTTTGCGGGTTCTCCTGAAATCGTTCTAGACAAGCTTCCCTTTTTCACGCCTGTCCTGCAGCCGAATTTAATCGACAAAGTTACTTTTGAAGTTAAGACGTGGACCCATGATCTGCTAAAGGTGGCGGCTCGTTTGTCTGCTCTCAGGATTTCGAACCCCCCGAAGGTGGTATACATCCGCTGTCTGACTACTGGAAGACGGGGAAGGGCTTTGCCCTGGAACTCAAAGAGGTGGAGCTCGTCAAGAACAAATAAGCGGATACTTGACGTCAACTTAGGCAGTGGTAGACACAGTTCGTTGCAGGATCAGACACCGACATCAAGGCTTGCGCATAACCGATCTTACGTATACATCGGGAGCACTATTCTGGCACCGGGAGAGAGACATAGGATTGTATCAATGTGTACAAGCTGCAAGTAACGAGACGCAATTTTGAATTGTGATCAAGGAGAAGGGCACCATTAGGAGGTGCCGTCGAAAAACCGTTCAGATTAGGTCGGACCGATATGTCTTGCATGAAAATCTGAATTTTGAAAGGGCCTGCAAACTTTCGAGTTGGATAACCTGAATAGCTCTGTCCTTTGTCATCTTCGTGCTATTTGACTAGCATAGTTGCTTCATGCAAGCTTTGAATTGAATCCTACTCCTAATGCATGCCGCAGTGCATTATGGCGCATGCAGTTGACCCATTCCTGTGATTGATGTATGGTACGTGCTAATATAGCATGGTATAGTACATGATGAACCTGATGAACATCGAGCTCAGTGTTGTCTTCTGTGATCGAAGATGACCTGTCAAATGCACTGGTGAAGTCTGCTTGAAGATTCACAACCGGGAGTGTACAGAAAGTACAGTGTACACAATCTAATGATTTCGTCTTACTGTATATCTACCCGGGCGGCTGCACATGCAATCATTTTTCACTTAGCTGTTCGAACATGATCACGGTCCCCTTTTATGCAGAAGCCGTATTTCTTGCAACAAATAGAGACCAAGGTGTACTGCATGAGCGTATGATAGCTCGAGGCCAATGTCAATGTAAGCACACGCATGTTCAAAACCATAAAATTGAATCTAAAAAAACATCAAGCTGTTCGATGCAATGACTCATATATAAGATGAAGTGCAGACGACGTATCCTCGATCTATGTGAATCAATCATGCGGCAATCACTAAGAATCATGTGAACCAGTCGCTGATGACACGCGTCGTATGATCATTTGAGTATAAAGAACAAGCGGGGGAAGCGAGTGCAACATGCTCGAGGGCACGGGGTTGCAGACAGAGTTTCGGTTCATATACAACTGTCCCTCATCCCAAGCCCAGTTTCTCCCTGCTGAACGGTCGCTTATGCCGCCACCTTAGCCGCGCCCGCCCGTGCCTTCCTGGCCTCCTCGACGATGGAGAGCTTGATACCCTTGCCCTTGGGCAGGCTGACCCACGGCTTGGTGCCCGAACCGATGAGCTGGATGTTGGTCAGCCGCGTGGCGAACTGGTGGCCCGCCGCATCCTTGATGTGCACAATGTCGAAGCTCCCCTTGTGCTTCTCACGGTGCTGCACACGCAGGAACAAACAGACGTCACCTACTTGCCTCAAGAAACAAGACGCTCCAGGGAGAAACCCAAGAAACGGCAGATTGAACCAATCGAGATTCCTCGGCGGAATGTTCAGGGGATGGAAGTCCAAATACAAGGATGTGTTTCTGCAGAACACGAAAACCAATCTCTGTGATCCCATGCAACCCCATCGGCATTGCAAAGCTAGCGAGCCGGCACTTCAGAGACAAGACAAACATGCAGGAAAAACCGATGCACAGAATTATGACTTGGTTACGGACGCCAGTGCGATCCTCTTAAAGGCTGCCGGATGCATGATGCCCACGTTCTGTTTGCCCGCCTCACCTGCAGGATCCCCACTCGCCCTCTGTTACGCCCTCCCGTGACCATGACGATGTTGCCCACATCGAACTTGATGAAGTCAATCACTTTGCCGGTCTCAATATCGATCTTGACCGTGTCGTTGACCTTGATCAACGGGTCCGGGTACCGGATGGTGCGCCCGTCGGAGGTGGAGATGTACGGGATGCCGCGGTCGCCAACCTTCTGGGCGCGCACCTTGGCCAGCTTGTACTGCACACAACCACCCAAGCAGGATATGTCAGTACAGCGCTCACGGCTGACAAGTTATCCATTGATCAACGGCCCAAGAGCTGCCAACAGCTCCAGCGCCTCTAATGCCAGCCAGGTGCATGCGAGCCTCCCGTCTTTGTGCCATGATTGAGAAACTTGATGCTGTGCGTTGGCCTCACCTTTCCCTCCTCAGCAGTGACCCTGTGGGTCACAAAGCGCCCCTTGGAGTCGTACAGAAGACGGAAGTGCTCGTCGGTCTTGGCAATGTGGATGATATCTGTGAATGAGCAGATAGCAACCTCAGTGCGAGATGTTGACTGATGCCCCAATGACATTACAGCCGCTGTAAGTGCCTTGGGCATACTTGGCTCTAAACATCTTCGGTGCGCCTTTTGGTGGTGATAAACTTTTTCCGGGACCTTGCTGACACTACTACGGCAGAGATGGTCCCTTTCCTCCTGATGTCCACAAGGGACAATCTCTGCCACAAGGGCTCCGCACCTTGCAAAGATACTTTTTTGCTGTGTCCCGCCTGCCGAGATGCGCTCAGACCATGACAACTATCTTGACTTGATCAAGCACTGGTCCTGAGGGCTTGTCCTACAGTTAGAACATGAAGGCAAGGAATGGAAAGGAAGCTGGGACCGACTGACAGCACACTCCAAAGGGCGGCGCCGGCGCATGGCCCTGGCTGCTTACCCATGAAGCCTGCCGGGTAGGTCTTGTCAGTGCGGACCTTGCCGTCCACCTCCACCAGCCTCTGCATGAGGATTGCCGTCACCTCACGGCCAGTAAGGGCATACTTGAGCCTGTTCCTCAGGATGAGGATGAGAGGGAGGCACTCGCGCTCCTTGTGGGGACCAGGGGACGGCTTGGGGGCCTGAAAAGGTGTGCAAAGACACCAACATCAGCTCTACAAAAGATCGTAGGTTTTCCCACTTCTTAGCACAGTCCTGAACGAACACTCTCCTCGCCCCTTCTGAAAGTGCCGTCGCGACGTTTGTTGATAAAGCTTTGGGCAGGGCTCCATGCGATGTCCCCCTGTTCCCCAATTCTCCACCATGAAGTATCCCCAAGGTCCTCTAAGAAATGCTATGTCGACTAGAACTCTGCCTGTCCCCTTTAACCCCGCTTGAACGTCGCTGAGACAGCAGCGGTCTGACGCGAGCCAACCCTCTCCAACCTCTTTGCGTTCCATTTCAATCTCCAAGGTTGAGCAAGCAATCTGTCCTGGCCCCTCTGCCATGTGTTGCTGGTAAAGACCAAGGAACCTCTTCCCAGCGGAACAGGCTATTCATCGTTCTTGCAAACACCTGTTGCCCAACCATCTGTACAACTGATGCTGGCGCCAAATGCATCAAAAATACCGGGCGCTGCTAAAGAATCTAATTTGGACATCTAATTTTGAAATCATTGACCCGCGCAGACAGTACAGTGCAGCTGCAGATTCTGTCGACCACACCATTACCATGTGATATAAAAACATTCGAAAGCCTAAGCAACAAGTGCCGTGTGACAAAGCTTCTTTGCCCTCACGTCCTACTGCTGCCCTTCCGGTGAGAGAAAAAGGCAAAGATGCTCACAAACACTCCGCCAAGCTTGTCAAGCATCCAATGGCTCGGGGCATTGAGCCTCTTCAGATGCTTCTTCACACCACGAGCCTGCAAAACAGAGAATTCAAGGGCATGAGATTGATTGACAGCTACTATGTCAGGTGTTGCTTTATGACTTCACCATTACCGAAGCTGAAAAACTTGTGCGATGCGCATACAGATGCAGACTTGAGAGGCGCAGCCAGCTGCAACAATCTCAATCTCATCCAGGCCTGTAAGCTCCAGCGCCAGAAAAAGACGTGCCCCTTTCTCCTTTGGACCCAAGATATGCGATGGCAGCACCGTAGTCTTTTCAGAGTGAAACGTCAGACGAGGCACTAGAGGATTATTCGCAACATCAAAGGAACCAGCCGTAGACAAGGCAGGTGCTACTCACCATCTTGGCAGCCCTCCTAGAGGGGTCAAGACGCTACAGGGCCGCCCTGCTGCTTGATCAGCCGCACGCGAAAGAGGACAAATGCGTCCTCGTCTCCTTCCCAACTTCCCAGGATGCTCGAGGCCCTGTAAAACCCGATGGTTCAGCTTCAACGGGGTGAAACTGGGACGATTTGGCGAGCAACCGGGCCCGGCCAGGCGTCGATCGTTCCGGTGCCTGCGCGGCCGCCACAGGTATTCGCTCGCGTTGAGCGCGCGTACAGTGCCGGGCACGACGCTTGCCCTCATGCCATGTCATGCATGAGAAGATAGATCGGATTTCTAAATCAACAACTCATTAGGTAGACGAAGTACGATATGCAATGATTCCACCGTACCTATACATAATGCCCATGGTGACGAAGAGGATGTACCCACTCTGCTAGTGATCGAAACGCACAAACCAACCTGCAAGCTGTCTCCGTGAACAACTCCCCATATCCCTCAGGTCGATACACACACACACTGACATTCATTTACGTACATGCCATGAGAAGCCTATGGCGCAGGTGGCTACGGCGTGTAAAAGAGAACTTCAACATGTCTAAAAGCATATCCGCAAGTTCCATAATTAACACACTCACGCGTACATGCATGTGTACGGCTTTCATTACTCTCAAATCCATCATTTTGCAAGGCCGTCGTTCGGCAGATGCCCGGCAGATGTGCCTCATGCGAGGCCGGTTGGTAAAAGGAGTAAAGCGTTTGCCACTGAGCAAAGTAGTCATTCGACCACAAGCTTTGGTACCAGCCATGGTAGTTAAGCCCCTGGTCAGATTTATAAGCATGAAACACCGAAATCCGGTTTACTCACACATGCAGGGAAGTTGTAAGTGTGTTTTCGTATTTGGCTCCGGACAGCCCTTGCCATCCACCTTTATGCAGGGACCATAGTCTATTATGAGAACTGTTTGTGTGCAGCTTTCAAAGACCAGATCACTTCTATTTTGGCCGAGATAAATTTTCAATCCATTGGACGCTAGCAAGCCAGCCGGCTCACTTTACACCAAGAAAGTCCGGATGCCATGTGCTCGACCAAATCAAATCAGGCCCTAGGTGAAATGACCATGATTCTCGAGCTCGCATCCAAGCATCCGACCTTTCAGAAAAGTTGTTTGGCCGTCTTGTTGACGCCGCAAAAGAATGCTCGCGACCTCTTACCGTCTATACAGATTTGGGTTCCTTCACATTGAACAAAATCAGAATTATGGGTTGTCCAGAGCGTGAAAACGGAGCTGATTGTCAGCCCCACCACTGACGATTGTCGCCTCTTGAAACCAGTCCACACACAGAGCCTGCAATAGAGGCAGAGAAGGTTTACTTCGATGCAGAGACGTTGTCAGAGTCTTAGGACACTGTCGACCAAAGCGTGAAACTTCATCTTCGACTTCAATCAGTGTGGGAGAAAACGTAGACCATGATAAGAAACCCTCACCTTAACAGTGTGCGCCTGTACAGTATGCAGAGGTACTTTACTCCGAACGTCCCACATCTTGACGGTGCCATCATGCGAAGTGGAGAGCAACTGGTGTGTTCTGGTCTTGTGCCTGCGTGCAGCATGGGAATTGGAACTCTGCCACGTGCTTCCAATGCTTCCAAACAATTCAGAAAGTGAGAAGCCAAGACGTCCTGAAAGTCATGAACATTCAATAATGAGTCTGCAATCAGCACAGAAATTGTACAAGAGCATCCTTCCCAGTCTTACGTGCTGTTCAAAAAGAGACAGCAGATACCCGAGGATAAGCAGACTGTGTAGACACGAGCGGTGACAAGCATCGAAAGAAGGCTAGCTCACCATTTCACCGCCGTTATCCAGCCTTTGTGCGATAGCAACTGGATCGCAGAACCAGTAGAACCTGCCAGGGATGAATGCACGGAATGTCAAGGCTCAGGTGGACAGGAGTAGTACATGTCAGGACAGTCGGTTTGCTGTGAGAACCGCTGCTGATGTTCGATACCAATGTGCAAAGAAAGCGAGTCCAGTGCTCACTTGAATCTCGTGAATCCCAGATTCGAATGGCTGGGTCTGCTCCCCCTGTTGCCAGCAAAGCCCCGCCTTCACCTCCCACGCTTAGGGCCAGGATGACTTTGCTACCAGTCTGCAAAGTGAATCAAGCGTGTTAGCTCCGACAGCTCCCTACAATCCAACACAGAAAACGAATCAGCATGGTAGCTTCACCAGTTCTTAGATGCCTGTATCACTTCTCTATCTGCTGACTAAAGTCCTGGCAATGATCCCATCAATTATAGATGGGAACGAACCAAGATATTTTTCCTGAAGTGAGGATTCTTCTGATGGGCCGGTTAGCTCCAGCAAGGCTCCAGCAAGGTGTGATTTTTCGGCCCACTCGATCTCTAGAACGCAAGCTGCAACCACCAGCAACACCGCATCCAGGCCTGGTCAGAGGGCTCACAATGGTGCTTGTGTTGACTGCCGCTTGCACGTCCCAGGTTCTAACGGAATGGTCCCACGACGCGGAGTGGATTGTGTCAGCTCGAGACCAGTCCACCGCTGAAACGCACTGCGAGTGACCCTCCAGCGTGACCCGCGCCTCTCTGGCCTCCTGCTCCCCGGCAGGGGCTGCCCCACTGTCCTCGACTCTTTGTCTCTTGGGCGCACTGCCCCCATCTTCAGCGTCTCTACTAACAGACCACACCTTGATGGTCGTGTCCCAGGACCCCGAAGCCACCTGCAAGAAGTGGGTTCACCATATTAGATGAGGCCAAGACTGTCACGCATGAATTCGCAAGGGCTCGACATCCAGCCAGAACCACCAGTAAGGGGTCAATTCAGTATGCCCTGACTGGATGCTACCCTAAGGGTCGAAGCCACAAGGCCAAACTATCATTGAGAAACATTGACAGTGCCATTGCGTTCCAGATGACAAAGAACTTTGGTAACCTGATGAACGGACCTCTAGAAGAGTTTTGGGTACCCTGACGAACAGGGGGCTGGATATGGGGCTCAACGTCGGGAACGCTTTCAAAGCATGGCAGCAACGAGGAAGCCATGCTTACGGTTGACAATTGCTAAAGAATAGAACAACCGGTTGCTTTGAAGTGGACTTACCTCATTCCCTGACGGACTGGCGACCACAGACTGGATTGCTGCACTATGACCTCGTAGCACTTGATGAAGGTCACCCGAGGGTTGTGAATCAGTTCCTTTTACCTATAAAGGACACGTGACAAGTAGATGAGTCGACCACCGTGGACTGGCTGTTCAATTTGTTGAGGTCACCCTCAGCATCCTCTTCAATTGGCAAGCTTGACAGACAGATCTGTGGTAGCAGCAAGCATTGGCACAGCATAAACTGTCTCTTAGAGAGTGAGCTTTGAAGAAACAACCGTGACACATTTTCCGGCCTCAAGTTCTGTGTAGCTTTTGCAGCCATGGAGTACTGCAACAACCTGAGGCCATTTTTTGTGCGATCGGTGCACATCATTGTCCTGCCCCTCCGTTTACTTTCTTGACAAGGCACTGAAATTCTGCTCACCCAGATGATGAATATCGGAAAGTGGTGAGTGAGAATCACAATACCGTACTACGCACCTGCCACACTCGAAGTGTCCTGTCCTTTGATGCTGTTATGACATCACATGAGCCCGATGCCCGTGGTATGACCGCGGTGGAGGTGATTGCATCGGAATGCCCCTGTAATGAGGTAAGAGCCTCCCCTGACGAACTCCATAACCTGGCAGGATGCGTAGATGATTTAGTCTCATGGTCCAATGAAAAGAAAAACAAAGTACATAAGCACCATGATCAAACTGGGACAAATATAAAGACATCCAATTAACGATAGGGCATAACAACTCTCTCTATATGTGTTGGCATCTGAGACTTGTAAGTGCCTTACCTTGCAACACCATCGTAACAGCCACTTACGAGCACACTGCGCAGACCAAAGTCACAAGGTCAGACACAGTTGTTCAGAGGCCAAAGCGCACCAAGGACTTTTCTGATCTACCATAGATTGAAGCCGCTACCACCCCTTTATGCACACCACCACTCAGCTGCCTTCACAGACCGAGAAACCCAATCACCGCAAGAAGCGTAATTGAACATTGCACCCCACCATTACCATCTTTCAAAAGGGACCTTAAGGTGAACATTATGCCAAGAGCGCCCGATGCTGCGGTGGTGCACCACAGGGCCCACTCACTCAGGGGAAGTTCCATTGATTGCGCTGACCCAATCGTCGTGGACATGGCTTGAGACTGGCTTGGGCAGTCCAACCGCAGGAATGTACTCGATCGTTAGAGTGGTTTCCTGCAGCCAGATCAGTGTTGCATTCTTAGATCGCTCTTCAGAGAATGGCAATGTGGTCAGCAATGTGCGTTTTGCAGCGGGTTCTCCATCATGTCAAGGCTTAGGCATCTCGGTAACCAAAGACAATAACTCACCGCTGAAAGTTTCTTGGAGACAAGCAAGCTCTCCAGAGAGGTCCTGAGCAGCTCCCCGCCAACGAGGAAGTCAAACGGCCTCAGCTTTTCTGTACAGGGAGTTGGCCGAAGTTGTTTTGAGAAACAGTAGCAAGCAAGTACTATATTAGTGGTGTTGCTCGGGGGCTTGTGGTGGCCACCAGGAACAACATGCTGGCAGACCTCAACCTCACACCATCGCAGGCAACGTTTCTGCAGCAGGATTTTCTGCCTTATTGAAAGCGGACTTCATGACGGCTTACCTGTGCTTAGCAGGCTATTGATGACCTCCGAGAGTCCATAACGGGTCAATCTTGCAGGAACAGCAAAGGATGCGTTGGTAACCCTATACTCTTCGGGAAGTTTTGTGACAAAACGTACTTGCACCTGCCGCTCCTCGCCCCCCATAGCATCCATGGCCCCTTCCCTCCTTGGACCTTTGCTTTGGTGCCGCACCAAAGTGGATCTACCGTATTGAAGCAAACCCTAAAAGCTCTTCCCTGGCAATGCACTGCGCAGCAGCGGCGATCAATGCGCAGGGCAAAATTCATAACCATAAACTTTAGTAGGTAGTACAAGGATCTTAGGTACTGAAAGTACTCAATGTCTCGGCTTAACCAACACTAAAACCCTAAGGACAAAATGACCTGCTCCGCACCCGAACCCACCCTAACCACCAAACTAACCCCACCCGTACTCGTGTACCTTAAGTTCCTTATTACTATTAAAGTTTATCCCTTTGCAAAATTCTGCCGAGGCCCTTCGATGTGCTGACGTGTTTCTTTGATAATGATTCCCAGTCGTCCGATCGGACAATGCAGGAGATGCATTTGAGTTTGGCGCCAGTCCGGGCAACCAGCCAACATGCTGAGTCACCATGTCGCACAGAGCTGCATTTCATGACGCGAATTTTGTCAATGACAAGAGGGTGCAAACGCCAGAATATCTCCCTAGGTAAATCCTATGCAGAAGAGCTTGTTGGAAGGAGCGGCCATTGTGTGTTGCCCAAAGGTGAGCCTTCGTGCTGTTCGAGGTCCAAGGCGTCTTTCCTTTAAACATGCGAAGGCAGCTTTGCATGCAATCTGTACGACATTTTCATGTACCCTCCCTGTCCCACCACCTTTTTCATGTGAGGGTCCTCTGATGTTTCATTCTTGCAACAGTGAATTGCCGAGGCTTGCTTGCGCGATCCATTCTTGAGAGATGCAATCAAGACTGGCTCGCAAATTGGCAATGTAAAAAGGACTTTAGTGCATCAGACCTTTTGAGACACCACCAAGATCTTTAGAAACGGAGGCCCAATGCTTACGTTTCACGATTCGCCATGTGCAGATGGAGGTTGTCAAACTTATGCAAGAACACTGGCTTTTGGCTGGAGTCCTGATCTGCATCTTTTGGCCAGCTTTATTGATCTTCTCGCCTGTCTACGTCCCACCAGTCCTGCTCTATGTCCTGTATGTAAGGTATAACCAGTGGAAGGTGGATCCAGGGCAAAGCAGTGAGGTTAGCATTGGGAAGGGGGAACCGGTTGATTGCACCACCACTGAGAAGCACGTTGTGACACCAGCATCAGGAGCTCAATTGCCTTCAGACAAGGCATCTGATCCTGCATGCAAGCATGTAGAGGAAGATCGGAGTGCGGAAGTGGCTAAGAAAAGTGAAGAGAAGCATGAGTCATCCGATCAGGATGCTCTTCCAGACCAGGGAAGATGCTCAGGAACGGGTTTTCAAAGTGACATTGATCATCAGAAAAGGTCGCTGTTTTCACCAACCCAAGCCAACCTTTCAACCCAGGGCAATGGTGAGGAGAGCATGCAGGCTAAACAGTCAGGGAACTTGACGGCACAAGATGTAGATGTTCCTAGCTCCAAACCATCAGCAACAAAGGCGGCAAACCCAGCCTTGGGCAAGCCTAAGAGCCAACCTCTCACAATATCTGTGAGCGCAGATCCCCCAAAAAAACCCGCAGTAGTGTCTCCCAAGAAGCTTCCTGTAAGCTCTCCGAAGAAGTCAGCAGATCACATTGCAAAGAAGTTGGAAGTTGCACCAGCCAAGAAGCCTGCGGAGAAGCCAGTTGATGGTTCTGCTGTTGCTAAGGGGACAGAAGCACCTGGCAAAGTGGTCGCGCAGCCCTCGAAGAAACAGTCCCTCGATGCACCCAAGGCACTGGAGACGCCAAAGGAGCCTTCTGCAGTGGCAGGGCATGAAGCGGAAAATTCTCATGCAGCTGCAGCGAGAACAAGCAGTGGAGAGGATCAAGCTGTACATGTACAGCTTCCTGCATCTGGGAAGCAAGAACAGTCCCGCGCCCTGGATACCAGAGCACGCCCCGTGCTGGCGGCTACAACGGAGTCTGCACCGTCTTCATCATCTGAACCAGTGCCGTCAGTTGCAATCTCACCAAAAGAAACGAAGGGGAGCAATGGTCAAGGTAAGGTTGCAAGAGTGCATCAACTTATAAGCAACCGCATCAACTTATATAGTTCTCGTGTCAGCAACATCTATGGATGTCAACAGGCAATTGGAACCTCAACGATGGTGGCAGTTCTGAATGTGGGACATCTCTGTGCGTGCATACTACCAGAGCATACCTCAGAAGTATAAGCATCCTATTGCTTTAAATTCTCCCATGTGCTGATAATCGGCAGTGTGCTCTTTGTGCATGAGAAAGATTATTTTTCAATTGTCTGTGCATAGACTTCATGCAATTCCTTCCTTTCATTCTGCAGAAGGCAACGAGCATAGATCTGATCACCACAAGTCCAAGTCCAAGAAAAAAAAGAAGAGTCATGCAGGCAAGTAGGCTGAAAAATATTGTTTGCGAAGTTGCTGCAGAAGATGGTATTGTAGCAGTGTGTGCAAGTAACAGCAAGTCGGAAGAAAGAAGGGAAGCATTGCAGAAGTTGCTAGGAGTTACGTATGTGAGTGTGTTGGAAGACAATACCCGTACTAGTTTCGCATCTGTCGCCGGAGCCTGTATGAAGACCGTCTTCATACAAAAGTCCAGTCGGACTGAGCTCGCTGCCGCACGTTAGGCCATTCTGAATCCCTCAAGTGCATTGCGATCGATTTGATTAGATATATATGAAGAGGTGCGCTCATTTTGCCTTACTTTTTTGATTAGAGCTGCATAATGCTATGCAATTGTATACCTTATCCTCGATATCTTAAACTATCAGCATGCTAATCCACTTTTAGCTTTCAATGATGTGGGCCGCCAAAGCCCGCTAAATAGCTACATCATGAATGATGCAATACTACTGAGCCGTGCTCCATATGCCTTCATGCGATACGGAAGGGGTATGTCTGGTTTCTGGATATGACTGCATACCTGCAAGTGCTTGGTGCAGCACATGGCCGGGCCTCTATCTTGCAAGGGATACAAAGCTTAAGAATCGAATCTCCTTTACATACATAGAAAAGTGCACCAGATCCTAGTTATCAAATATGCCTGCTCACAACGATTTGGTCCCAAGCGACTGACACAAATGCGCGGACAAATGACGATATGCAGGATTGCGCAACTTAAAGAAAGCACGAGAGCTCCAGTGTAGACCAGTAATGTAGGGAGAAACTCAGGGAAAGAATTCGCTCAGACTTCATGCTTCTCACCACTTCGTTTCTCAATTTCCTTTTCAAGCGCGATTATCACTTTGTCGCCCCTTTGATAAACTCCAGTTCGTAGAAGTGCTGCCCGCTCCCGAAGCAACCGGATAACGTCTTGGTCCGGTATTCTAAGCGACTTTACTCGAAGTTCTTCCTGAGACATGGTGCCGACAAAAGCTGGGGCATCTACTTCGTCTTTGCAACGTGCCTCGTCTGGGGGATCATCCACGGGTTGAAGCGCTGGCCAGTCGATCCCCTTTTCCCGCATCCCACTGTCGCTCCCGCTCATTTCGTTCGCTTGCTCCTCCCGCCTCACCGAGCCTCTCCGCAGCTTCGCTTCAGCGGCTTCCAAAGCGTCCACTTGCCCTTCCTTTCGGGTTCGAGGGGGCTGCTTTCTCCTCCTCGCGGTGCCTGGGGCCCCTGCCGCAGCCGGTTGCTTCTTGCGGCGCTGGCTCCCTGCTGCGCGCTCCGCCTCGTCGCCGCTGACCACTCGGTCGAGAGCCAGGGCCCGCAGCGCGGCCGCCGTGGCTGCGGCCGACGCCTGCTCCTGGTCCTGGAGGCGCGCCAGCTGCTCCTTGATCGCTACCAGCTCCAATCGCTCGTCCCTGCACGGAGGGGGAACGTGGGGTCCAACACAGCACATCCTGTCCGGGCAAGTCATCGGCCGTACTTGTACACAGCATAACAACGACCCGTAATCAAGAAACGAGAAGTCGAGTAGAGGTCGAATTCCATCGGCAGTGAAGCCGTGACGCACTGCCAGAGAGCTGCAAGACTTCAATAGCGCCGCCGCCTTTGCTAATTGAAACGTCGACTCCTATGTGTGGACTCGCTGTGCATGGGCGGCGAGGGCAGAGACTGCCTACCTCGCTCTGTCGGCCTCCTCTTTGGCGGTGCTTGCCAGCGCCCGTGCTTCCAACCGTCTCCGCTCCTTGGCCAGCCGAGCGGCCTCGTCTGCAGGTAAGCGACGCTGGTCAGTCACCAGGAGCCACGAGGAAGAGCGCGAGACACGTCACTTATCCTAGGCCAATCCGCAAGAGGTGGGTCCAGCGAAGAATGAGCGTCGGAAAGCACCCCGTGGTTGGCCAGCCAAAGCACGCACGAGATGACGTTCAGGTGCAAACATAATCGTCGACACAGAAGTCGGATCTAAAGTGACGACGTTTTGACGATTGCTTGGCAAATGATTCAACCAATCCGCAGCCGCTGTCCTCCCGCTTTCTCACATACTCCCGCTGCCTATTGCATACTCGTGACGCTGAGCCGCCGTGGTCGCCGGTGCGCCGTCTCACCCGCGGCTTGCTGCCGGTGCATGGCCGCCAGCTCGCGCGCCATGCGCAGCACCTGCGCCTTGTACTGCTTCTTGGCGGCGGTCGCCTTCTCGGCGCTGCGCTGCAGGTCCAGGTTCTTCTGCTGCAGCGCCACCACCTGCGCCGCCAGCTCCGCCTCCGGAGTGCCCCGCTGCGCCGCGCGATGCTCCGCAAACTCGCGCTCCAGGCGGGCGCGGGCAGCCTCCGTCGCCGACAGGCGCTCTTCTAGTCCTGGAGCAAAACAATCAAGCCTTAAGTTGGTGTCTCAGGACCGAGCGGTGGCCGCCTTTCAAGTCTCTGCACTTCTGGCGGCTCTGGGGGCTCAGGAGATGCAGTGTTGGGCATGGGCCGGCTCTGTGGATTTGTGCTGCTCGACGTCCGAACGCAGGGGCAAAGGAGTTCCCGAAAGCACCGGCTCTTGATCGAAAGCGGACCATGCTGTACCTTCGTGTAACTGGAAGTTCCTCAAGACTTTTTCGTTGGAACTTTTGAGGGAGATGATCAGCGTACTTGTTGCCCTCGACAGCTTGGATTCTCGGCAGAAAAGTATGCTTCAACACCTTCATCAAGCACCCTTCTCTACTACGAACACAACCCAGTCGACGAGCTAGTGCCACGGCTGTGGAGAAACCCTTTTGACTCCATCCCAGGCCCCGTTGGTGCTCACCCTTCTTCTGGCGCGCCAGCTCTTCGTAGCGGCTGCGCTCCAGCTGCAGCTGGTGCTCGCACTCCTCCTTCAACCGCTTGATGGCAGCCTGGCAGGGCGGCACACTGGACACTTCAGCGGCCAGTCGAGGAAAGAGCAGGAATATATCTACGTCTGCTGCACTCAATCAGTCAAGGAGCAAGTTTCTAACAACGAGCCCCCTTCTTTACAATCATCACGCACGCGGAAGTCGCATGTTCCAAGCTCCCACTCTCGGGGTCGCGCGTCCATCGTCCTTTCCTCGACCATTCCTGCCACGTGGCCCACCTTGGCATCGGCGGTCCTGTGCGCGTGGTCCCGTTCGAGGGCCTCCCTCCTGGTGGACGCGGCCTCCTCGGCGGCCAGCAGCTTCTTCTCGCGCCCCGCCAGGCTGGCCAGCTGCTCCTCCAGCTTGGCCCCCAGCACAGCGTGCTCCGCGCGCACCGCCGCCACCTCCGCCACCTGCACGCCAGCAAGCGCACTGACCACTACAGCTACAAGCAAACTTCAATGCACTGCAACAAGCGACTGCAATCAGAGAGCATTGCCATAGATTGTCCTCGGAATTGAAGTTCAAAATCGTTCCGTATTGCATATCAGCAGGTTCAAGGGCCTCAGCAGGGTGATGGGCATTTCTTGATGCATGCGGATCCCGGCTGCGGGGCTAAAGCTGATGACGTCGAGCAGGCTGCCAAGCATTCATGAATCGTTACACATGATAGAGGCAGCCAGCCTTCTACCTTGTATACTTAGAATCACCGGTTCAACCTAGACAGACACTCGATTCGGTGATCCTTTGTTAGAAGAAGATTTTCAGCTGAGCACCAGCCCATGAAAAAAAGCCTCAAGGTAAACTGGAAGAGCAGGCTCACCCTTTCCTTTTCCCGCTTCTTCCACTCCTCTTCTAGAGCTGCCATCCTCGCCGCCTCCCGCTCCTTAAGCTCGGCCATGAATTTTGACTCCTGCACACGGTGGTGGCGTCACATCGGAGAGTCTGCTTCAAAGCACACCAGTGTCAATGTCCAACCACCACAGCTTGGAGAAGCTGGGGTGGGCTCTGAAACGCCTCTGTAGCATAGCAAACATTGTGAGGCCCTAAGAGATGAAAAACAACTTGCAGAAGCCAAAACAGCACGCCTTCCAAATCCAAGCTCCATGCAGCAATCGTATTCGAGGGTCTAAACATCATCTCGAATTTTGACCGGAATATTGAACAGGTTCCAGCATGTGCAGCGTGCTTAGTAGAACGTGTCCTTGGGTCTGTGACTTCTGATCAGCCTGCTGGCATACGTGTCGGTTGCCACTGGCCCTGCTTGCGCCACTTACCTCGCTCCTCTTCCACATCTCCAGTGCCCACGCTGCCTCATACTCTGCCCCTTCCCGGATGCCTGCCGGCGTCCCCGCTCCATGGTTCCCCCCATTTAGCACAGCGTCTTGCCCCTCACCGTCTGCCCTGCTGCCTGTTGCAGCCGCTTCGACCCCATCAGACTCTGCCCTTCCGCTCTCCCCTATCCTTCTGTCCTGAATCCTGACCTCCGTTGGGGTTGCCGAGCGGGAAACTGGTCGCTGCGCCCTTTGCTCCAGCGTATCCGGGTCCCCCTCTGTTCTTTCGATCCCGTTGAGCCCACTTGCTTCGGCCACTACCTTGGCTTCTGGCTCAAGGCCACTGCCCCCTTGTACCTCCTTGCGTAACTCCGCCGCTTCACCAAAAACCTCATCAGTAAGCACCCTCCGTTCGACTTCTTCCCGACCCTCCCCGTTCGCATCCTGGTCCCTTGCCAGCGCCGCTGGCCGGCTGCCTGGCGTGCTCGCCCATGCTGCGCTTCCCCCCTCCTGCTTCTCCTCTGCATCTGACGCATACACACTGCCCGCATACTCTGGTAACTCCACCCCACCTTCCGCCTCGGGCCACGGCAGGTCCTCTGCTGCCGACGGCGGCACCTCGGGCCGAATGGCCGCCTCCGAGCGCCGCTTGACACGGGCCGGCCCCACTGCTGGCCCCAGCTCCTCAATGAGCAGCACGAGGCGCAGGCTGCCCACTGCGACGCGCTCCATGGCGGGCGGGGTCCCGCGCTGCGTGCGCACGGCCTTGCTGGCCAGCATGGGGACGTAGCCGTCCAGCCACGGCTCCTCCAGCAGCGCAGCCAGGGGGACGGTGCCACGCCCCAGGAGACGGTCCGCAGTGTAGCGGTCGCGGTGGTATACCTGATGCAGGGTGAAGGTGGGGGGCTGACCGCGAGGAAGGGTTGAACGGAGTGTGGCAAAGTGGCCTTCTGACATCAGCTCTATTGATCTGGCTTGATCGCAGTAGCCTGAGATTCTCATAAGGAAATGGCAAACGTCGTCCTATGTTAACCCTTAAGGAAGAAGAATCAGAAGACCGTGGCTTGGAGGTGCAGGCCTGCAAGTTGGGCTGTTATAAGTTCCGCAGCTGTAGACCCTCCCAGCTTGCCGTTAGTGTTGTAGCAGGGTGCACCATGCACTGCCTGACTTGCTCTTCAAGCCACCCTGGTGGCGTCTCCTCCATGGCGAGGTGGCTGTGTGGCATGCGGGTCTCACCTCCGCCACCAGCTTTGCCCCCCTGGCCAGTGCTGTTGCCATGGCCAGGATAGTGGCAGGCAGCTCCAGGGCAACAAAGCCATTCGTCAGGGCCACCTCTGTCTGCCGCGCCACCTCCTGAGGGGGGTGCGTCCGGAGTGGAGCTGTGAGGGCAGCGACGCTGGCGCCTGCACAAAGAAGGCGACACATGTCACCATTAACTGGGACCATAATTTTCTGCTTTGAGGTATTGCCAAAAAAGCGCCCTGCAAGCGAAGCAAATGTGAAGGAAATTTGCGAGAATTCTCTATTTGACCAATGCACCTGGGGGATGCACGGGCTTGCTCTCGTACCTGGCTGCTTGGCTGTGCCCTCTGCTGCCAGTTGCACAATCTCCCTTGGGAAGAGGACCTTGACATAGATGGCAGCCACAGGCAGGGGCAACCTTCTAAGAGCTCGGAAGTTCCTGACGTCCACACTAATCCTGAAGAGGTACACCTGATCGGGGTCCATTGCTGTGGCTAAGTCGCTCATTCAGCTGGGCCGCCTGCAACAAGTACAGCGGTTCATATACTCCACATTGTAAGGGAGCTTTTTGAGTGCCACTCCTCCTGCCTTCATTTGATGCCGTGATTGGAGGACAACCGACATGGTTGGAGCATCTTGCACCCCACGCAGCTTTCAACAGGGGCACCTTGTGCAGAAAGGCCAAATGGTGTGTCCCAACCAGTGAGATGTTCTCCAGCATTTTACCAACGGGTAACACATCCATTAGAGTCGCCCTTTCCAAACTGTAGCTACGGATAGGGTTGGAAGTGCTTGCCTTGAATATTGAAGTCCTGCTCTTTCGTCCGGCCCATTTAGGCTCCTCCCAGGTCAGGTGGCCTTTTCACCTGTTTTGGAATGTGACCACCTACCTTGGATTCAGTTCACGCAGCTTTGTTACACCAGAAGCAGAGTGCAGATGCAGGACAGCTTTCCAGCCTCTCCTCTACTATTAGAAAGGACCCATAGCGCCCTTGCTCCCTTGTTGTAGACCAGTGCGTCTGCTCAAGCTAGCTGGCTTCTTGCACAGATTTTGAATTTTCCGAGGGGCCGTTTTGCGTCCGGTCTTTGACGTCCAAGCACTTGTTAATATTAGTAAAACCGCGCGCGCACACTGGCGAAGATCTTACATAGCCCCCTCGAATTTACGGACGATTCTAGCCCCCCGATAGAGTTGGAATTTTGACTGAGCAGATTGAAAGCCCAAGCCTGCGTGGCTTTCTGGTCCTCTTTCTCTCTGCTGCAGGGCAGGTGAGACGGCACGATCACGATGGCGGCCGCTGCGAGACCCCTCGTGACCGTGCAGCGGGGAGGGGACAGCAAGGATGAGAGCCAGACCCACCTCCCCTCCGTGTTCACTGCCCCCATCCGTCCCGATATTGTGCAATTTGTGCACACCAGCCTGAACAAGAACAAGAGGCAGGCGTATGCTGTCAGCGTGAAGGCTGGGCACCAGACGTCAGCAGAGTCATGGGGGACGGGTCGGGCCGTGTCCCGTATCCCTCGTGTTCCTGGTGGCGGGACACACCGGGCGGGACAGGGAGCGTTTGGCAACATGTGCCGAGGGGGTCGCATGTTTGCGCCCAACAAGACCTGGAGGAGATGGCACAGGAAGGTGAATGTGAACCAGAAGAGGTATGCAATTGCCTCCGCTCTGGCCGCGTCCGCAGTGCCTGCCCTGGTCCTTGCCCGCGGTCACCAGATTGAGAAGGTGGCGGAGGTCCCGCTGGTCCTGCATGATGAGGTGGAGGGCCTCGAGAGGACCAAGGACGCTGTCAAGGTGAGCCGCGGGGAGCAAGTTTTGGTAAAGGTTGCACCAAGATAATTTATTGGCTTATGCATTTTACCTTATCCCATCTGGCCGGAAGTAAAGTACGGTACTTACGTAGGTTGCTGTGGTTGATTAACCATTACCAAATGTGCTTTTACTTCTTGATGTGCACCTTTGGGCGGCTTGTGATTCTCTAAGATTTTGGGTGCTTCTCAATGCTGATGCGGTAATGGTTTGACTGGTCGCAAATGACCGGCATGTGTCCAGCTTGTTGGGGCCAGGTATCTGTTGCCGGGACACGGCTGGGACAGAGACAGGTATTTGGTATTTGCATCATGTATGCTCTAGCGGAGATTCAAATACAGCCTTGTTTAGCATAGGCAGCAATTCCTCAAACAGTGCAACTTCACTAATTGCTGTACCAGCATCTGTGAGCCGCATCAATCTGAACCATTACCAGGTATGACATATCGATGGGTAGGACAGGGACTCTCAAGGTTCTTGTTCCGAGTTGTGTGCCTTAGGCAGGCCTGTATCTGCTGTGCAGATCCTGAGGAAGATCGGCGCGTACGAGGATGTGCTCAAGGCCAAGGACAGCAGGAACCTGCGCTCGGGCAAGGGCAAGATGCGCAACCGGCGCTATGTGTCCAGGAAGGGGCCGCTGGTGGTCTATGGCACGGAGGGGGCCAAGATTGCCAAGTCCTTCAGGAACATCCCGGGGGTGGAGGTGGCGTCTGTGGACAGGTGGGACAAACGTCTACTCTGTCTGCCCTCAAGCCTCGTTGCCTGCATCCCTCTGACAGTCAGGTTGAAAGTGCAGCCTTTCAACTGCAAGCATGGGGGACGGTTGCGATGGGTTTTCGAGAGAAGTGGAGCAAGGGTTATAAGTTGAGGTGCAGTGTGATATCCTGCCTCTAAGAACGGCGGTTCAATGCATTGAACCACTTTTGATTTGACAAGTTCTCATCATGGATTAGAAGCAGGGATGATTTCGAACACGTCTGTCTGAGAGTGTGGTTGACGCGGGGTCGTGCGGGCTGTCTGCTGTATAGCCTTTGATCGAAGCAGCTGAAGCACAGTTTCAGTAAGTTTAGCATTCATGCGAAGATGCTCTCCGTCAAGCACAGGTTTCGCAAACTAGCGACAAATTCAGCAAGGTGAACTCAGACGGTTACATGAAGTGCAGGCACCGCATGTCCACGTATGTTGCTTTCGATCCGGCAGGTCTAGATCAAGGTGGAAGGCAAACATATTTTAGTCTTACGGTCGCCCCACAAGATACAACATGGGTTGGCCAAAGTTGACAGTGAATCAGGATACCTTTTGCTCGGCACAGCCCGAGCACGGGCAGCTTGGATGTTTGATTGTTGTACTTTGATTTCGCAACCAGCATCCCTGGTATTCCGCACGCTGCATTAGTTGCCGGACGCAGCCCCCGTCCTGTGCAGGCTGAACCTGCTGCAGCTGGCGCCCGGAGGTCACCTGGGGCGCTTCATCGTGTGGACCCAGAGCGCCTTCGATAAGCTGGACAGCATCTACGGCACCCACGACAAGCCGTCCACCGCCAAGAAGGGCTACAAGCTGCCGCGCTCCATCATGGCCAACTCCGACCTCACCCGCATCATCAACAGCGATGAGATCCAGAGCATCGTAAGCCCCGCAACGCTTCCGTCCCTCCCACAACCAGTCTCCGCTGACACCAATACTCTTGCCACCCGGCAATTCGATGGTCATCACTTCGTTTATACGGTGTATGCACAGGCAACGGCCAGTCCGGTTGCCACTGAAGCCGCCCCGTTCTATCCTCTCTGACCTGTCAAGGCACTCCTGCTCCAGGTCAAGGCCCCCAAGAAGGAGCTCAAGAGGCGGCCCCTCAAGAAGAACCCCCTCAAGAACCTGGGAGCCCTCCTCAAGCTCAACCCCTTCGCCAAGTCCGCTCGCAGGCTGGAACTGCTGGCGTCGGTGAGGAGCATGGACCCACGGTTGTATTCTGCATGTCAGGGCTGCATAGGGGCCTCCTAAGTTCCTTTTTCATCCTGATGGCGGTGGGGAATTCTCTCGTTGTCCCTGTGGAGTCTGCTCAACAATTGCGAGTTTAAGTCGATTGTGGAAAACGTCTGATGGATACAGTCAGCAAGTGCTTGATATTTTGCGTAGCAGCTGTACCAAAACGGGCAGATGCTAGCGCTTCAACTTGCCCACCTGACAAAGCCACCAGATTAGCAAGTTGCTGGACTGATTGCCTCCTTACTTATCCCAAGCCGTCTAATCAACCCATGTGTTCCTGAACCCTGGGGTTCTCCGTATCCAGGCCCGGCAGGCCAAGGGCAGAGCGGAGAAGCTGGCGGCCAAGCGGACGGTTGGCGCGAGCAAGGAGGAGGTGAAGAAGGCGGGCGAGGCGCACTACAAGACCATGATCAGCGACAGCGACTACACCGAGTTCGACGTTTTCCAGAAGTGGCTGGGCGTGTCGCAATAGGGGGCTTGACGGACAAAAGTTGGTCGGGAACGGTGTGGCCGGACTCATGCGCACTTGGTGCAGTTGTTGGAGGAGATTGGTCTTTCATGCGAAAGGCGTGTACACATGCATATCGAGGTTGTTTGGATGCACTGAGTTTAATGCAGGTTTGGGCATCGGATGTCGTAAATGTTCATGAACGCTTTTATGCAATGTGGCACATGGAATGTGTGGGTATGTTTTTGAAGTGCTTAGAACGAGGGTGGATTTTTTGGATCTCAATACGTCTCTATCTGTCATGAGTGGTAGTTCCAGACTGCTTGGGTTTCTGACATCATGGCATCTGTTGTTAGTCACGACCTATCAGAAAGTGGGTATCTCTAAGTGGTTTGGCTACGGCGTACTTTAAAAAGGATGTCGCGAATCGTGATTGATCTGCATTTCCGAATTCGAATATTGAGTTATGCATGATGTGTCTGCGATCCCCTAAAAGTCATATTTACCAGCGGTTTCGTGGCAAGACTTGTTGGTGCATTCCATCCTTCAAGCGTGATTGTGAATCGTGGCCTTTTCTCAGATGTAGGGGCGGATAGGTATGCTAAGCCACCATCCCCACCTGTGTACAGCTAAATCAGAGCATTCCGCAATTGACCGAAAAGCTTGCAGAACTCTCAGGTTGAAACAACGATTCACAAGTGACCAGTGACGCAATGACCTGTAGTCCTAGGTAATGTACCTACATACCGTAGTCTTGACAAAGGTACCGAATACATATACCGTAGGTACCTGGATGGCCCGAGTTTTGAGTCAAAAGCTAAAAGTCACGTTGGCCGTCGGATCTATTAGAAAAGCGTTTATCGGATGGCTCAACAAGCTCCAAGCTTGAGCAAGGCTGCCATGTGGATAATATAACGATTTTGATTCGGCAAAGGAGGCCGAACGATCGCAACGAATCATGGCGAATCGCCGGCCTAGTCAAGTCTCATTCAAAATCCATGCAAATGCAGTGGCCCGTGGGGCAGCACCTATAAGTTTATCAGGGCCATATACATTTGCGCCACGCCAGAATATGGCCCTCTTCAGAGCTCTTCTGTACCTGGGATTGAAGATGGTGGAGCTTCAATAATCTCTTAGCAGGACTTTCTCAATGGGGATCTTGCGGGTGGGCAGCCTGGCCCGCATGCGAGCTTCATGGACAGGCGTGCTAGCCACATTTGCGGAGAGGCTGGAGTTGTGTACGCCCTTGCCTGCAGCTCCTCTTCGTGTTGAAGCTGGCCATGGGTCGAATGCTGAGTCGCAATGCAGGCACGAGTTCGTAGAGCTCGCCGCCTCCATGCCCTCTGCTTCAGCTGGCAGTGGCGATAGGCTGCGCAGCTCGATGAATGCAGCACGGGCAGCGTCAGGGACCTGCTCTGAGGTGAATTGCAGGGATGCCAGCTGGCAGTGGCCGGGATCACAAAGCTGGCGATGGCCACAAATGGCAGTCTCTCCTTGGACACCACCCTTGCAAAGCCAGCAATGGAGAAGCTACTCTGCGAGTGCCCCTGTGCCAGCTAGGGACCCCTCCTTTGCGCAGTTGACCTCAGATGACGTTCGCTTCTTTCAAGGGGTGCTGGGCCTTGGTGGTGTTGTCACGGACGACGACCTCCTGGCGGTGGCCAACACGGACTGGATGAACAAGTACCATGGCAAGAGCAAGCTGCTCCTGCGCCCACGTACAACTGAGCAGGTAAACGGTCACCCTTTGTATCAAGAGGCAATCATCAGTGCTTGCCCTTGTGACATAGACATACTGCAAAGGATCGGCCCTCTTCGGAGAGTCCCTGTAGTTCAGCTGGTGGTCCTTTCCCCAAGCACTGACAGCCTTACTTCTTTCCTCCCCTCCCAGGTGTCCCGCGTCCTGGCGCACTGCCATGAGCGGCGCCTGGCCGTTGTGCCCCAGGGGGGCAACTCGGGGCTGGTGGGGGGCAGCGTGCCCCTGTTCGATGAGGTCATCTTGAACTTGGGGGCCATGGACCGCATCGTCTCCTTCGACGAAGTCAGCGGCATCCTGGTCTGTGAAGCGGGCTGCATCCTGGAGAAGGTGGACGCGTACCTGGCAGAACGCGGGTGAGGCCTGCCACCAGTTAGACCAGCCGAGTTGCGTCAGCTCCATAGATCGTGGTTCTGCGCCAAGGAGTTGATGCTTCGTTGTGTGCTCGAGTGGTGTCTTCGCGTGCAACAAAGTCACTCCATGGTTCGCATTTGTCCACTGAGTATGGCCAATGAGTTTATTGATGACAACTTCGATAAGATCGAGTCCAATGTTTTCAGCAGGGCTTGTGAGCTGGATTTGGTACTTATGCCCGCCTGCTCCCCCCAGGTTTGTGTTCCCGCTGGACCTGGGCGCCAAGGGCAGCTGCCAGATTGGGGGCAACATCAGCACGAACGCGGGCGGGCTGCGGCTGCTGCGCTACGGCAGCCTGCACGGCAACGTGCTGGGGCTGGAGGTGGTGCTGGCGGACGGCACGGTGGTGGACACACTCAAGACCCTGCGCAAGGATAACACCGGCTACGATGTCAAGCAGCTCTTTGTCGGGGGGGAGGGCACGCTGGGCGTGGTCACGCAGGCCGCCATTCTGACCCCGCCCAAGGCACGCGCTGTCAATGTGGCACTGCTCGCCTGCGCCAGCTTCCAGGATGCGCTCGTGAGTCGTGCTTGCTCCACTAATTGTACTAGGACGACAAAACTGGACTTCGTTTTCGTGACGAAAGTCTCAAGTGAAAGCAGCGGCTCTATTTGCACTTCTCCCCTTTCTTCGGTGGTTCTGTACGACCAGAGGTTTTCGGGGGGCTACTGTCACGGACAGGCAGTCACAATCTGCTATTTTGTGCAGATAAGTCTGAGATGCCGATTGAGCTCCTGATTGAGTCAGATAAATCAATTTCGCGTGATTAGGGAGTATCAATCTCTGACAGCTCTGCCTGCTGCGTGGTCTTGCAGACAGCATTCCGGCTGGCCAAGCAGGAGCTGGGCGAAGTCCTGTCAGCATTCGAGTTCTTCGACCGCACCTGCCTGGACCTCGTCCTCAAGCACCACTCCGCCATCCGCGACCCCCTGCCCCCTGAGGAGGATGGCGCCCCGCCGTACCCCTTCTACTTGCTGGTCGAGACCGCCGGCAGCAACCAGGAGCACGACAGGTCAGAGCAATTGCGTGCCGTCATTTGCGGTCTGGCCCAAGTTGATGCCATTCATTGATTTGGCACAGACAGTGGTGGAAAATTGCTCTAGCTGACTTCGTTTTCTTGGGGCATATCATAATATGCGAGAGCCAAGCCAGAAGTCCCCGTCCGCTCATTGTGACTGGCGATCTTGACTTAGACCGTCCGATTATTCCATGAAGCTCATTGCCCGAAGTCGTCCTGCCACGTATGTCGAACTTCAGGAATGGATGCATTGACAGAAAAGCATCCTCGGCAAGCTCTATTATTCTTATAAAGCTGCTCGCTCGTTTGGGGAAATGCTGTCACCGCCCCCAACGAATCTCCTTCAATTCCTGGACCTCAACGGCTGCCGTTTCCTGCGTCGAGACGTCTTTGAAGTCGCTCTCCGCTTGGCCCGTGCAGCGCCAAATGGGACGCGTTCCTGGAAGCTGCTTCTGCGGGGGAGGTGGTGCAGAACGGCACCATTGCGCAGGATGCGGGCCAGGCGGCGGGGCTGTGGGCCATCCGCGAGGGCATCACCGAGTCGCTGGCCAAAAACGGCGTGGTCTACAAGTACGACTTCTCGCTGCCCGTCACGGACCTGTACCGCCTCGTGGAGGACACCCAGCAGCGTATCGGTGAGCGCGCTGGTCCACAGGTGAAGCGGACAAGGAGGGGGGGAGAACCAACGGACTTTCCGACGATTCGGAGTGCTTTCTGGACCGCTTTGAGATTCACAGGACGTTAATCGATGCTCCTTCCAGTTTTGTCAAAGGGCCTGGCAAAGGAGCTTGGATGCTGTTCCTGGTGCACCGTGGGGTGTGTTCTTGGTGGCTTGCTGTGCCGCTGAAGCCCGCGTCGTGTCTCGTGCTGTTGCAGGGCCGCTGGGGGTGGCGGTTGGGTACGGTCACCTGGGCGACGGCAACCTGCACCTCAACGTGTCCGCGCCCGCGTACAGCGACGCGCTGCGGGCGCGGCTGGAGCCGTGGGTGTACGAGTGGACCGCGCAGCACCGCGGCAGCATCAGTGCGGAGCACGGGCTGGGCCAGATGAAGCCGCACGCGCTGCGCTACAGCAAGGCGGACAGCGCGGTGAGGGAGGTTCGGCCACGTGTGCACACCCTTTAGTTGCATGGGGCTCGCATCGTGGCGCACCCCGCCGTTCGTGCGGTTGACGAAGTAACATTTTTGTGTCTCTCTGCCGCCTTAGATGAACAGGAGTCCTGGTATGACCTGAATCCAAAATGGGATTGTTGAAATGTACAGGACTGACTCGCAGGTCCTGGTGTTTGCAGATTGAGCTGATGGCGAGTCTGAAGAGGTTGCTGGATCCGCGTGGCATCTTGAACCCGTACAAGGTGCTTCCAGACGAGGCTGACAAACGAGATGCAACTTCAAAGAAGCAACAAACCTGACCGGAAAGGACGCTGACATACAGGTCAATCCTGCCCCGACATCAGGACGTTCTGGTCTGAAGCACGCGCACGCAAACAAGCGCTGACCCTTAGGCGGTTGCCGATCGTTGCCAACTGTCACAAAGATTTTAACTATCATAGGTTGCAAGCTGTACATCTCCTGTACATAAGCCTGACTTGACTGTTTTCGGACCAACATGTCTCATCCAATACTACAGTAGAGGATGACGGCTTGATCAATGCAATTATTTCGAGTTTCCATATGCAGTGGGGGTAGCAATAGCCGGTTACAGCCGGAGTCAACTTAGAAAATCGTTTGTGCTGACATGAACAGCGCTGCATGTGGTCCTTTTGTCAATATCCAGACTGTCTGATCGAACGTTGGGGGATATATACGGTAATCTACAGAGGTCATCAACAGATCTTGAGCTGATCATCAACTCACAAGAGATATACGTTCTCAACGCATGACTTGCTAGAAGTTCGGGTCACATTCGGAGCTTACTACCCACCGTATACAAACAATTTTAAGGGCCATTGACTCAATACTTGCGCTGCATCATTGGCGGTCATGCATGATAATGGGCGCGAATCAGGTCAACTGTCCATAGCCGATCTATAATTGTAGACTTGTAATGTGTCACTTAGATTAGCTGCGCACAAGAGTGTTAAGTGATTCGTTTAATGAATTGCAGTAATTGCATGACTTAATCGAAGAGCTGAATTGATCGAGACATGGCGGCAATTCGGAAACGGCCAGCCTGGCCCGGTGGATCGCACTGTGGGCGCAACGTCTCGTATATGTATATATCAGCATGCATGTCGACCGTAGCTGCAGCATGGCATATATGTACAATCTTCATCGACTGACCGCCAAGAGCTGGCTGACTCAAGAGCTGAGATTGCTGATCAAAGTAATTCCATAGCTGCTCCGCAAATGCCCGCGCGTCAATCAAAGGATCACAGCCGCCACCCAAGTTGTTTCCTTACATACAACGCATGGTCGTTGCAAGAGCTGGTCCGGCACGATCATGTCCATGCATGTAGGCACCTCAAAGGCCACGTACATGAGTAGTGCTAAAGCTCACCATATCTGATTGCCTTTTGTTGGCTGTCCAATGAAACGCTGCCAAGATCTAGCGAATACTGTACACCTGCTACTGCTGACGCTCGCACCTGTCCAAGATTCTACCAGCTGTATGTACATGTCTACAAGATGGTCTGTTGGAGTTCTCAACCAATGCTTGACCACTGAAAGTACAGAACCTGTTTTACCTGTACTTTCAAACCGCTCCCCTCGTTAGGCTACCGTCAGTGGAGTCCTAGACTAGGCAGCGTTAGCGCCAGCAGAAGGACTAAGTCCTCCCTAGAGCTGTGGCGCTTACACTGCGCTTATGGACAGGTGCTGCAATAAATGGTGGAGACGGATGTCTGCCAGGCGCGCTTGACCAAATAACGCACTAGGGATCCGCATGCCCCGCCATCTCGTCATCGTCACTCATGTCGCTGAGATCATCCTCGCTCTCATCCTCACTCTCCGGTTCCGGTTTGTTGCCAAGGTCCTCGGGCTTGGCAAAACGTTGGCAATATTCTGCAAAATAGAGAGAGGGGCAGCACGTTCAACAATGACCGTCACAGCACAAGCAAAACTACAGAACCCGCAATCTGCAAGCACACTTCTTAAGTCAGTAAAGGAAATATCTTCAGACACTGCAACAACCCAGGCTGTTTGACTGAGCAAAAGCCAGACCGCAGGCCCAGGGCCCATGTGTGCGCACCCTTGACTTTGCTCTTGTACAGGTCTGGCTCCCGCATCAACAGCGCCGCAGCTTCCCCGTTGAGCGGGTCCGTGGGGTTGGGGTACAGGAGGAGCTGAGGCAGGAACACCTCAAACACGTTGATCAGGTCTGCACGAGGCACACACACACTATGTCAGCGCCAGTTTCCATTGACCTTCCACAACTATGACTGCTGGGCTTGTATCCTAGGTGCACAAACTTGAGAGCTGAACAGAAGTCAGCAGCCCGAAGCATGATTCACACTTACATGACTCTTTTGGTAAGGCATCTGGGGGGCTCGTCTGGGGACACTCACCAAACATGGGGCTCCACCGCTGGTTGATGACGTCAAGGCACACCGAGCCCGACCTGCAGGAAAAGCCCTTCAGAAGCAGACTCGAGCATGGCACAGGCTCCACAATCTGGACGAGAGAACTCAGGGGGGCGCACAGCACTAATGCTCTAAGAGTCCCTGCTAGCCCTTCAGAAGCAAACTGCAAACATCAAGCAATGCTGTATCCTCCTTCAGAGAGTACTGCCCAAGGAAGATGCTATAAACTGGGAAGAATGTTCGAAAGAAAGCTCAAGCAGAGTTGCTCACAATTCGTCAACGTTTGGATGGAATATCCGGTTGATAAATCCAATCGATGGTGACTTGTAAGGGTATGCATCAGGCAGCTCCACGTGTATCTTCCAGACTCCTCCCTCGTACGGGCCTGCCAACATGTGCAAGCGAGGGCTTCAGCTTGAGATTGGGCAGAAGGTGCACAAAACAAGTAAATCTACAGGGTTAGAGGAGCAGCACCGCTTGGCTACTGGAGGACTGGTCAGAGACAGCGGCAGCACTGCAGCACAAGCAGTTGCTCTTAAGGGGACAAGCCAATGTTGAGGAAAGCGACAGAAGGAGACGCGAGCTAGAGTGGAGGACATATTGTGAAGTGGGGCATTGTACTCACTCTCCTTTGGCCCAAGGAACTCGACAAAGAACTCGCTCATACCATCGTTGATCATTTCCACCTTGTAGTCGCTCATCATGCTGAAGACAGGCACAAAGGCTTATTGGAAAGGGAAATGAAGGACGTCCTTCAGAGCAAGAGAACGAGCACAATCACATTCAAATCAAGTGGAATACAGGGTGCAAAACCCTCATGACGTTCTGCCGCAGCTTTCAGAGTCTTAACTCACAGCTTCATGACGTCCATTTCCCTCCGTTTACTTGGACTTGACATGGCGCCTTCCAAAGCTGCTCCCACTCAGAAAAGCCACCACAATGAGCAACCAAACACCAGTCCGCCTGAGTTGCTCAACAATGAATCAGCCCCAGCTGCCCCTGCAAGAGCTCTCTAACAACGAGCTCGCCTGAAGCTGCCGCCAGGAATAAACCTTGCCTGTGGCAGTGCACTTACAAAACAACCTCTCCCAAGAGGCAGCAGGATACTCAGGGAAGCGCCTTGCGGAGGTAGGGCTAAAATTCAGTGGCGCAAGCAGGCTTGTGTAGCAGCTTGCCAACTCAGACTGGTTGCTTGCGCTGCGTCAGGGCTGTGGTGAGGTGGCCAGGTGGGACTTCGGTGGAATGCTGTCTTGCAAGCTGCATGATCGTGTACCGGTATGTCTTAGCAGCGACCGGGGCAGGCTTCCAGCACCCACTGGGGCAGTATTCTGCCCGGTTAGAGACAACCGGGAACAGCAGCATGCGCAGCCTTGCATTGAATTAGCGCAATGCATGGCCGGGCTGGCTTTGGAAATGTTTGAAGAGAACTGGTTCTTTTTATTTCTTCTTTTGAGTCGAGTCAAGTATTCAGAGGAGCTTCTTCATGGAGGCCGCCTGCATTTCAGCGGAGTTGTGTCCATCATCGTTCGTCTTCTCCAGTCCATTCCGGGATAGTTTCGCAGAAAGGCCGTTGGGATCATCAAGCAAGTCAGCGGCCACTGAGTGGAAGCTTGCACGGCAGCGGATGACCCCTCCGAGAGCTGCCACCGCGGTCCAGCCCAGACAATTGAGCATGGAATCCATCCAAGCATGGCAATGGCGGTATCAGGGCAATGAGGACTTGGATGGTAGGAAAGATACGCTGCGGAGCAGGAGTGTTGCAAGCACAAGTGGCGGGGAAGAGGCGCAGCCAGCAAGTGTCAGTCAGGATGCACTAGAAAAGGGTGCCGGGGGACCTGAAGACCAGCGCCTGCAGACGCCCGCCCACCTGCCCAGTGAGTCGTATCTAACTGCACCACGCTGAGGGCGCATAAGCAGCGTTGTGACGTGATTGTCTGCTTCCACATGATTTGAAAAGCGAACCGAGGTGCGGCATGATGAGCTAGGCCAGTGCTGCCAGATCTATGTCTCGTCCATCTTTGCGCCACTGTTGGTGCCGCAGCTGGCTGCCTCCTCCGATGGGCCCTGCCACTGACAGCTCTCTGTCGCTGTGTTGCTGGGACGTCTCCAGAACCTCTGTCCACCAATCAAAGCAACATCAACAGGACGGGGCAATTGCGGGTGGCGTACCAGGTATGGTCGTGCTTGACTTCGTGCTGATCCAGCTGTTGATGAGAGTGGGTGCCCCTGCCATGAGAGTGGGCTTACGTTGTGTTGTGCCGCTTGCGAGCCTGAGAGGTACGAAGTCGCACAGGTATCTCATAAGGAACGGACCATCTTGTTGAAGGGCTCTTGCACGCCTCCCTGCATTGCTCTCCCTGTCCTTGCGTCTGCTTATCCTCAACCTGGTTTCTTGTCCAGGGTGCCGCGGGGGCTTACAGCGAGGCAGCTGCATATGATGCCTTCCCCGGGTGCGAAGCGGTGCCGTGTGAGCAGTTTGATGCCGCCTTTCAGGTGCGCCACCACCGGGCTGCCTGCTCTGTCCCCCAGCGCCTGGCCCTGCTATAGGCCTCCTCACGTTCCCATGCTGGCATTTGAGACATTTTCGCATTGGGAGATGGAGAAGTGTCTTGTTTGCCGATAGATCTTTGCTGTTGGCCCCTGTGACGGTCTTCTGCCGCCACGTGGCTTGCAGGCGGTGGAGCTGTGGCTGGTGGACCGCGCGGTGCTGCCCATTGAGAACTCCCTGGGGGGGAGCATCCACCGCAACTACGACCTGCTCATGCGCCACCGCCTCTACATTGTGGGCGAGGCAAGCAGCGCAGCGCCTGCCGCCCCGTCTGGCCACTGGCCGGCAGATCCTAATTCAATGATCACATGTCTGCTTTTTGGGGGGCAGCCTCTGGTTTAGTAGCCCGCAATCACTGGCTGCGGGTCAAGGCTGGTCGTGAGCAACGCATGAACTTGCACACTCCGGGCGAGTTCCTCGGAAACAGGCGCTTTTCATAGGGCGGAGATTGATTGGAAGGTGGTGCACTGTCACTTCTCTCAGGGCATCTGTCAAGCCAAAGAATTCGAACAAATCACTCAGATTGAGCTTGGGTGCAACGTCCTGCTTCTTAAGTAACTTTCGACAATGTAGCTCGTCAATAAGTAAGGCTCCCTTGCTGGTGTGGCGGTGCACTGGTTGATGTGGCGATGGCGGCGTTGTGCGCAGGTCAACTTCCCGGTGAACCACTGCCTGCTGGCGCTGCCGGGCGTGCGCAAGGAGGACCTCAAGCGCGTGCTCAGCCACCCGCAGGCCCTCGCCCAGACGGAGGGCTACCTGTCCGCGCTGGGGGTCATCAGGGAGGCCGCAGCCGACACCGCAGGCTCTGCGCAGGTGAGGGACAACCACAAGGTGCTCTTGCAAGACAATTGCCGACAGTTCGCCGGCAATTAGGGCAGGGCGGTGAAGGATGCTTCTCCAGGTAACAGGTTGCAGCTCCGCCCTCCTGGCAGGGGCCGTCCAGGCATCGCTCTCACAACATCACACAGGAGGCCCCCTGCTCATAGGGAGGACGGCTGTCTCGACTTCCGAGGTATGCCTGACTCCGTGTGCTTGGCGCGTGCAGCTGATCGCCCAGGAGGGGTGGACCGACGCGGGGGCGATTGCCAGCCGGCGTGCGGGCGAAATATACGGGTTGGACGTATTGGCAGAGGGGGTCCAGGTAAGGCAGGCATACACGGCCTCCTGCGTACACACAGCGACGACTCTGCCAGTCTCCGCCGCTGGTCGATCTTTGATTTGCAGCTGTACGAAAATATAATCGAATCGGCTGAGACATACTTCTTTCGTCATCCTTGAAGGCATACAATCCGCTTATCACTCGAACCTGCTCAGATCTAGACCCCACTAATGCTTCAGGCCTCAACGGAATGTTTCAGAGTGGATACGTGCTGCTTCGTATGTCGCTTCCACCCGGTGGCGGACGGCCCAGCTCGGAGTTGCCGCTACTCGTCAAGACGGGAGCCTTCTGCTTCCTGTTTCACGAATCGCCCGGCTGCTGACCGCCCTCCCTGCGGTGGCCTGTGCAGGACGAGGCCGACAACGTGACTCGCTTCCTCATGCTGGCCCGCGACCAGCACATCCCGCGCCTGGGCGTGCCCTACAAGGTACTGCCCACCACCGCTGCGGCCTAACCACGCCGCAACTGCACAACCTCATATCCTGCTCCTCTCTCCTTTTGAAGACCCAGCGATCGTAGGATCGATGTTAGCAGTCCATTCATCGTCGTAGAAAGTATCATGTCGCTCAGCAGGGCGAGACCCTTGTGCCCGTGTCTGGCAGCGGAACAGTCCCACGTGCGTTCGCCTGCCTTGCCCTTCTTCTCGTAATTTCCCTGCGGCTGACGCCTGTTTGTTGTGGCGTGCCTGCTTGACAGACGAGCATCGTGTTCACCTTGGAGGAGGCCCCGGGCGCCCTCTTCAAGGCGCTGGCCGTCTTCTCGCTGCGCGACATCAACCTCACCAAGGTCAGCGCGCAGCCCGCACTGTGGCCCGGCCGTCACAGTCGACGACCGGGCCGCCTGTCGTAGGCCCTGAACCTGCTGCCTGATGTCTGCAGCTGCGCTTGTTGTCTACTCGTCGCGTGATGCTGTGCCTGAACTGCACACGGGGTTTCGCATGCAGATTGAGAGTCGGCCGCAGCGCGCCAAGCCCCTCCAGGTCGTGCAGGACCTCCGCAACCAGACCTCCACCAAGTAAGGCCCCCCTCCCAACCACACTGGCCTCTTTTGTTAGCCGACGCTGACTATCCCCGCCAGCTCCCGCATGCACGTTTTTGACACTTCGTCTTTCCCGTCAGTTGCTGAGATTCTGTCAGTCGTATGGCTGACAGCGGCCGTGCGTGCTTGCGGTGCAGGGCGTTTCAGTTCCTGTTCTACATCGACTTCATGGCCAGCATGGCCGAGGAGCGGGCCCAGAATGCGCTGCGCCACCTCCAGGTGAGCACTCCGCCGGACCAGACAGCAGACTCAGCATGCAGCAGGGCAGGCCTGCAGGCTGAGGCAGCAGGGACCTCTGGCAAACCCGTCCTTGGTGCGAAACTGTCGGAGCACTCTCTGCCGGCTGGTCCGTAGGTGGCTGTCGTCCCTGCTCACGCGTAACGCAAGCTGACGACAATGGACCTCACGGCTGTGCAGGAGATCGCCCCTTTTCTGCGGGTTCTGGGCAGCTATCCCATGGACACCCGGCCCTTATGACCGCCGGCCAGGAAGGCCCTCCCGCATGCGAAGGGCCGATTGCCCGTGAATAAGGAACGCGTCACCCCTGGGCTTGGGGTCCAGATGGGAGTGCCTGCGACGTTGATGTAGTCGGCACTGAGGCTGCATATCTTGTCTTCGTGTCTGGTTAGGTGGTCTGATGAGAGCACAGCTACTGTACCTCGTCAAACAAATCAGCGCCTGCAGTACGACAGGATTGGTCTGCTATCAGAGTTCTGGCACATGAAATTGTTGATCGACGTGGCACGCAGAGGTGTTCTGTTCAGATAGTCTACAATTGACAGGTTGTAAGCGAACTAAGACCATTTTTTACCACAACCGCGAGGCACATGCTGACGTTGAATGGCTTGAATGTCGAGTCCATGAGCAACTTGCTGACTGCAGCTTCGCTCTTGGAGGTCGACTATGATATTTGGCTCGAAATGTTGACCACTGTCCCTATGCCGCGCGTTTTGGTCATAGCTTTCCACTATAAACTTTTTGTTTGGATTGCTTCATTCTCATCTCCACTGTGAGATAAGTTTGCACATGCTTCTTAACCACATCGATCATGCAATTTGAAGACCTTCCAGAACGACGTTGCTCCCGGTAACCAGAAACGAAATAGGAGCGGCACCAGCACCCATCTATCTCTTGTACCTATACTATACTGGTAATCGGACAGACATTTTCATGGATACGGGATCAGGCATGCCAATGCATCAATAACCCACTGAGTACGTGCGCTTTTGAATTACAGAATAGGTGAATGACTTGCGCCTGCAGCGTCGTGTTGCTATATGGCGAGCGAGCAAGGACAGTCCGCTTTTGGTAGCAGTCATGCACTCATTGCAAACCGCATTTGGTCTGGTATCTGCGCAGACTGTCCAACGAGGCCCAGACATTACCCTTCTTTTGCGCATTGTTTTGTAGAGTACTCGTGCGAGAGGCTCAAATGTAGAGAAGATCGCGCCTTTCTTTCGAACTTCGACGACGTGCAGACAACTAACCAATCTGAGGGGGTCGTAGAGACTTCGACCGTTTGGCTTCCTTATTCGACTGCAGCATGCTCAAAGGGCTTTAACAACTACTCCAAGATTTCCAACCAATGGCCGCAGCCTCCTGCCTATGAGCACGGACGCTGTTGCCAACACTCTGCGCCTGGCCCCGCCCTCCTCAGGAAGTACGTCGAGGCGCTGCCAACATCCGCCCGCCTGCTGGTGCCCCCATCGTATTGGCATGCGCCGGTTCCCTTCCGGTGGCACACGGACCGCAACACCATGGGGGCCCCGCATGCACACCGGGGCGCTCGCCACCGCCCCGCACTCTCCTCGCCCACACCTGACGAGCCAGGCTCCGGGAAGTCGACAGCGGGCTCGCAGGGTCGCCTCCGCTTGTGGCACAACCAGGGCGGCCTGGCCCAGGCCTCGGCCCCCAGCTGCGCCACGTCCCACAACGTCAGCAGTGTCACTGCAGCACCTGCCCACAACCGCTGCGCGTGCTCCACTCTGCTGCACGGTACGGCCAGCCCCGCCCAATACGCGGGGGGGCTGCCCAGCACGGCGCACAGCAGGCGGCCGCCGTCCGCCCCCGGGTACAGCGGCAGCAGGCCCAGCGCCGCGCACACCACGCTGCCCGACACGGCCACCCACGCCAGCTGGCCCGCCGATGCCGCCAGCGGGACACCCAGGAGGAGGCGCGCACAGCGCAGCGGACGGTACGGCAGGAGCACGTCCGCGGGCTGCATTCGCCCCAGCACATGCACCAGGAGGCGGGCCGCCGCACGGATGGCCCTTGCGTTGGAGCGGGTGTGGAAGGGCGGGCGCACCGCAGGGCATGGGACAGCAGTATCCCCCGCATCGCCCACTCCAGACTTGGACGTTTCGTCGAGCACCTCCCCTAGGTCGTAGCTGGACGGGCTCGACAAACCGTCGCCAAACGTGTTACAAATGTTCCATTCTTGTCTGGTCGTCCCGTGAATCAATCTGTGCAGTCGAGCTTCAGGCCTACTCTTCTCCATTGCAAGAGTACCGGTGGACTGCTCCTTTCCCTGCCCGCTCGCCAGACTCAAACAATCGTCAGCAGGTTCAACGGTTGCTCTGGGGCGGACAACACAGTCGAAGTTTGATGTTGTTAAGAGCCCATCAGCTCGGGCCTTCCTTGGGCCAGCGGAGAAGGCGGTGCGTGGCAGCCCTGTTGTGCGCAGCTGCAGTGCGAGCAGGGCGCACGCCAGCAGCCAAACCGCGGCCGGCCCCGCTAGCTGGGAGGCCACCTGCACCAGCAGCACGCGCATGCCCCCCTCTGCCGCGGCCGACCCCGCCACGCTCGCGGCGGGGCTGCCGCTGAAGCGGCCTGCGAGAGCCTCAGACACTAGTACGGCCAGGCCCGCGGCCCGGCGCAGGGGCTGCCCGCCCAGTGCGAGGGCCACCCATTCTTGCACGGTGTCGTGGACGGCCTGCACGGCGGAGAGGGCCGCGAAGAGCAGGCCCAGCTGGCACACCAGGAGGCAGCGCGACATGAGGACTGGCCGAGAGAAGGGGCGTCCCCGACTATAGTCAACCTTGCTCGACATCTTTCATCTGAAACAAGTGCTCGACCCTTCGAGACAGAAAGCACCACTCAGAATGATACCGGCGTTAAAGAAGCAGGGCTTGTCGTGCTGATGCTAGCGGGATGCTAGCCCTTTCGATCCCACTCACGGCTTCTATATGTGCCATGACCTGATGTGCTCCCCAACGATACCTCACCGGTTGCCGAGGATCAGAGACATAACGTCGTGTGGTAGCGGCACTTCTTTGTCACCATAACAGTTCCTTACGTCGGCTCGATTGCCAAAGGCGCCTGCTGCCTGCATTCGTATCGCCCTATTTGATTGGAAAAATGCTACGTAAGTTGACGCCGTTGACTGCAACTAGACGCCAACCGAGGCGCCGGGTCCGGTCCGATCGGACGAGTCACCGTAAATCACTCGCGTAGTCACGCAGCGCCGTCGATTCGCCAATCGAAGGCTGCAATCACCTGTCAAGATGTGACGAGTGAAACTTTTCGATCCGTCGATCGGAATGTGAAGCGTCAATCTTGGCGGTCCGATGAACTTGTGTCGAATGTCTTCGAATGCGGGCATGCTTAAGTTGCTGACCTAGCAAGGCAACTTAGCAACTTGAAGACGCTTACAAGCTAGCATGTAAGCGAATGCGCAAGGCACGTCCTCAGCCAATAATGAGGTCGATTGGAAACATTGCCTTGTGGAGCTTTCAATGGAGAGAGAACCTACTGTTTGAAAGTGCCAAAATACTTCTCGCCAAAATAGATCTTCCGTCGCATTCTTGTATGCGCAAGTCAGGCGAACGGAACTGCCATGAAAGGAAAAACAATGATCTTTTCGAAATGTGAATGGTAGATATAGAATGATATGTGTAGATCCGATAGAACTGTGATAAACCTGAACAACAGCGTCATGTTGCCTACTGAGCACAAGAGCAATATGTCATGCCTAGCCTACTGTAGCTCAGTTGCGTCGAATATGTGTGTGCAACACAGTCGATCGAATCTGTCGCTGATCATTGGCCGCATGAGGAACAGATCCGCTAAAAATATCGTGTTCCAAACAAACACATGAGAACTAAGAAAATGGCAGGCCGCGCTGCAGTAGCGCTACAGCATCGCAAAAAACCATTACTATGACCAGTATGTGCTTGCATCATCATGCTAGTCAATTGCACAGCTAGCTTGCATTACATGCCTAGCAAGGCCTACAGCTAGAACTCGACTGAACTAGGTCAAATTGCTATTCAATTAGAGATAGGTGACGTTGAATGCGGCGTGCCCATTTAAACCACAAGATCCAGCTCAACTGAGGTCAAGAGATTGCAACGTGACTCAACTCACAAGCATACAAAACTTAGCCAAACTTGCTTACAGCGACTACAGATACTCTTTGAGTCATTTGCAGCATCCTTCAAACATTGTGTATTAGCACTTGGCAAGGCTGGATCAGAAAATCTAGGTGCTCGGCTTCATTGCTTCATTCGCATAAGGTCAAACCCATCGTTAGAACAAAGCAAAGCATGACCATATGCAGCTCTCAAACTTCATTCCTCTGCCCTCTACTAAGTAAAGTGGAGGGCTGTTTGTCCTACTTCGATTCCCCATCTACTGGCGGGGCTTTCCAAAGCTTCACTTTCTTGTCAGTGCTGCCCGTTGCTAGAATTAGAGCTCCTGCATGGAGGAACGAAGAAAGCATTACGACTTTTGTATCACAGTTGATGGAACGGCCATGCCCACACCTGTCCATCAGCACAACGTCAGGACGTTCTCAATTTCTTGCAATGAGCTAACGGCCGTAGGGTGGTACACAAGACTCGATCAGAGAGGAGTAATCACAGCAGAGCAGGCGCGCCTACCTCGCGGCTGCGGGGCCCATGCCAGGCAGCTGATCTCCCCTGCACAAGCAAAACAAATGAGGGGCGTGAGACGGAAGCAGGCCGTACGAACGGCAACCCCGGACAAGCATCTCCCGTCGACAAGCAGCTCGCACCGCTGCTGGCACCCAGTTCCCGGTGCACGCCTGCTCCCCCTCGGTGGCTCACCCTCGTGTGCGTGCTCTGCGCGCTCCAGCACTGCGCCCGTCCGCAGGTCCAGCCAGTGCAGCGTGTGCCCCGCGGCCGCCGCCAGCAGGGCGCCCCCCGGCGCCACCGCGATCCGGTCGTAGTGGGGCGGCGCCTTGCCCACGGCGGGCAGGCCGCACGGGAACGTGGCCAGGCAGCGGGGGTCCTCGTCCAGCTGGTACCGCACTGCAGCAGCAACGGACGGACGGTCAGAGCACCCGAACGGCTGCGGATCTCCGGGACCAAGCAGGCGGTAGCCAGTGATAATTGCGGCTGATTGCTCGTCTTTGAGAGTCGACCATGAGGAGATGCCGAGCTTAAAGTGAGCGGACGTCAGCGCTATCTTGGACGGCGTCACATGATGAACGGTCTCGATTTCGGACGGCGCTTTTGTGAGGGACTTTAAATGCCGTGATCGGGCTTGTCCATGCATGGCCTGCGCCCACTATAGAAAAGGACACGTCTTCGTAGATGTCACCGCGTGTGTCTCACGTCTATCATTGAATATCTGGCCACAAAGCAGTGCTTCGATTCCTCTACGCACTTCAGGGCGCCCTCCTCACCATCAATATTCCATACTTTGATCGTGCCGTCCTTGGACGACGTGACAATGCGCTTCGAATCGTCCGTGAACGACAGCCAATAAACCGCACCCTGCATGCAACAAGAAATGCTTCGGACAGTCTGCGGTATCGCTACATTAAGCAGCACGCGGTGAGGCTGCCAGCAGAGCCGCAGTGATGGTCCACATAAAGACAGGCTGAGCAGTCGACGCAACTTGCTGGCCTGCTCTTCGCCCCATTCTGCCAGCTCTTGGTGTGCGTGCGGGACTGTGGCGTGCGCGCTCACCTTGTGTCCCTTGAGCTGCATCACCTTGGCCACGTCGCGCACCGCGCCGTCCTTGGTGAGCACCAGCTCCCACACCTGCGCAGCCCCGCAGCCACACCCTGTCACCACCAGCTCCGCCACACCCCCGCAGCGCCAGCTACACGACCGGCACCAAGGCTGCATACGGCAGAGGCCTTGCGCAGACAGAGAGCTGCCATTATGCCAGGGACACGCCCAACGACCCTCAGCAGACGACAAACGAAAGACTTCGTACAGACATCAAAGCGTGCACCCTTGTGGCCCTCAGTGCTGGCTCCACAAGATGCGCGCGTACACGCACCTTGACATCGGCGGTGAAGGCGGCTGCTGCCAGGAAGCGGCCGTCGGGGGAGAGGCTGGCCATGTGGTTCTGCAGCTGGCTTGTGTCCACGCGGCCCACGGCGCGGCCGTCTGCCACGTGGAACAGCGCAATGTCCGTCCCTGCACCACCAAGCACCGTTCAGCGCCTCCGCCCAGTATGGGCGGACTGGCAGCAGGCCCCTCAAAGACTACACAAGTGCAAGGGCTGGCCGTCGTCGGCCCCAACGTTCTGTAACCATATGATGGCACTAGTAGCTCGGTGCTTGGAATTTGGACCCAGTTGCTCCTCTTCTAAACAGAGACTGTGTTTCCAGGTTGGCCCTCATGTTGCATCACCATAGGGGCTTCTGCAAGGAGTCACTCGAACTGCTGCCACATTGCTCCAATTGGTATGCCACCAAAAAGTTCACAACAAGTTTGCACTTTTCTACGGAGTAAAGGGCAACTAGAAGGCTCAAATCGAGCACAATCCAAAGGGATTGGACTCTACTAATACTCTCCTCTCCACAAGCAACAAACGACCAAACTGTAATTTTAAATCAGCAGAGTATAAGTGCAGCTGGCACTCATCCATCCCCTGACTGCAGTCCCCAATGCCAGCTTTGTCCTGCTCTTTCTAGCTTGCCCCTCGTCTCCTCCGCGGCCCCTCACCTTCTGAGCACGAGGCCACCACGGCGGTGCCGTCCCCGCTCCCCGCTGTGGCCGCCGCTCCGTGCAGCGTGAGGATGCCCTTGTCCGCGTGCACACGCGACTTGGCCCACTTCACCTCCGGCGGCGGCAGCTTGCCCTGCTCGCGCGCCTGCGCCGCTGCGGTGCCGCTGCCCTGCCCATACAGGCTCAGCGTGGCGCCGCTGCTGCTCTGCGCGCCCACCACCAGCTCCGACGCGCCCTGCGCACCAGACACCCACATACTCACCTCAGGTAGGGGCCAGCTGTCCCAGGGGGGGGCAGAGGGAAAGTACGGTGCTAGCATGACATGCGGCCATGGTCTGAAGGCGAGCACAGGGTACCTCAGCCGGCTCTGGCAACACCGGCTCTGGCAACAGAGTCGAAACGCTGCACTAAGCAAGCAGGCGGGTTGCAAAGCACAGCTAGCCGGTCCACTTGAAGCAAGCTCCAGGAGCTGGCGTAGTCAAGAAGATCACCGCAACTGACCTCCCCAAAGGCCACTCCAACCGGGATCTCGCCTGGTGGCAGATTGATGCGCAAGAACCTGGAGGAACAGCAGGCGGCTGGAGCAGGGAAGAAGGAGGGAAGGTGACAGCCAAGTGACGGGCAACAACAAGAGAACACAGTGAAGGCAGGGGGAGGTAGCAAGCCCTGTCAGAGTGGGGCAGAGCGACAGAGGACCGCAAGTTAACAAAACAACTTGTGTGGCACCAGTTGACATGGAGGGGGGAGGAGCGCACTTGAAGCTCTTGGCATACAGGTCCTCCAACTTGAACACGCGCACACAGCCGTCCGCACAGGCTGCAGGGAAACACACAGCAGGCGGCGCTCAACCACCACCACAATTGGGCGCTACGGCTGTGCTGCTACGATCAAGTGGCGCCAGCTCGATCGAAACTCAGAAGCAGACTCCGGTGATGCGCCAAAAACAGGACGACAGGAAAAGCTTGACACAGGCGGGGAGTTTATCTACCAATGCAACAAACTGCAACAAACACCCTCTGGCAGGCAGAATGCAGATGCGGTGGGTGGTGCAAGCGATGTGCGGCACCTGTGGCGAGGCCGCGCCCATCGGAGGTGAAGGCCAGGCCGCGCACAGCATCCCCATGGCCCTTGAGCGTGTTGATGCACAGCGGGTGGTGCTCATGGTGCGCCGCCAGAGGGGCCTGAAAAGGTGCACACGACAGGGCGGGGTCAGGCATCGAGGCAGGATTGCCACACGCACAATTGAGCGCCAAAGTATGAGCGGAGCAGGCTGGCGCGCACATGCAGGGCGATCATGCAGCCTACCCGGGGTGCCGCCTTGTGATGCGTCACGCCCTTCTTGGGGGCGACCGCTTTGGCCGTCTCTGCCCTTGCCGCTGCTGCATCAGTCGTGGGCCCCGCCGCTCGGCTGCCCCATAGCAGAACCAGCGCAAGGAACCCCAGCAACACCGTGGCCGCCCCCACCAGCACGCCACTCCAAGCCGCCTCCATCGTGCGCTCTCTGTACAACCTACAACCTACAACCGACAGGCTATACAACCCCCTACAACCGTGACATTATATATGGAGCAGAGCAGTTGGAACTTGGAACTTTGTTGCATCCATGATCCAGGTACCGTAGTGGCACGACCCATTCACCCTGAAATTAATTATTTTGGGCTTGTGTGAAAAAAATAATTAATTCTGAACAGCTTGTGTGAAACTGCGAAACTAAAAGATCCGGGTTAGTTGATTGGTTACGTCTGTTTTGGGTGGTTAATTACCTGATTCTGTAGGGTTATATTGCTGGTACGAAATGAAATAAATCCTCTTGAGCTTGGTGTGAAAAAAAATAAGTGAAAAAAATAATGTTCGCAGAGAGGGGTCGCGAATGGGTCGTGCCACTACGGTACCATGCCAGAGTTGCCAGCCCGGTATGCACATGTGGTGCACGTGTTCATAGCAGTGTAGCCTGTTTGATGTGGCGGTGCGGCCCGTGCCAGCTTTCAACAATGTTGCATCATGCACATGGGCACAACACCAACGCAGTCCATTATGGCATTTAATACGGTATGGGCGCCCGACCATGCTGCTGGCAGTGCCGCTTGAGGTGCCCCTCCTAAGTCCTTCCAATGCGCATATTGTCATCTCGTCATTGGTGAGCAGTAGGTGGACCTTGGCGGCATTCGGGGGGCCATCATCCTTGTCTTAGACACTGAGGCAGCTGTGCGGTGCAACCCAATTGCAGCATTGCATAGGCCGCTGCAGCCGCGCCCTTCCCCCTGGCCGCCATGGCCAGCTGGCACACCTGACGCTGTAGCAGGCTGCCACACTCCTTTCCTCGCTAGCGCCTTGCTTGCATGACATACAAGCTCGGCTGATCTTGGGGGGCTCTCTGCATCGGGCACCCAAATGGTTCAGGCCAGCCTCGTCTACTCTTGACATGACATCAGCACCTCCAGTTGGCGAGGAGGCTGGGGCCCCCCGTGTTGTGGCCGGGCAGGAGCGCCCGCCGGAGCTGGGGCGCTCCTTGTCGCTGCGCACCCGGCGACAAGGCCTGGCCGTGAGCGACCTGGTCATTCCAGGGAAAGGACTCGCGCACAGCCCAGCCAGCCAGGCAACGGGGGGGCAGGGCCTCACTCAGAGCCAGGCCCAGGCGCCCTTCTCCTCTCCGGACACCAGTGCCCCTGCGAATGGTCCCCCAGAGCCCGACGCAGGCGGCGCCAGCCTGGAGGAGCGGCGCCTGCGCACTTGGGCGGAGGCTCATGGCCTGGAGGGCCCAGGCAGCGATCGCTTGTGGGAGAGCGCAGTGGTCAGCGCCAGGGAGCTGCCTAGGGCAGGCAGTGGCGGAGACAGTGCTACAGGTGAGGACAGACAGGGGAGTGAGTCCTCAAAACAGCGGCTCCATGCTGCAGAGTGGGCCCAGCCTTAGCCCTGGCAGTTAGAGGCGCCCCACGTTGAGGCAAAGTAGCGCCATCCCAGCATCTCCCCTTGCGGTGCAGCACAGCCCCCAAACATGTATCCAGGCTGGACATTGTTTTCAGTGCGACCCCGCTCTCAATTGCGCGATCCTCCCTCCCCATCTCTGAAGTTTGTGCCACCGCAGGCGACCCACCTCCCAGTGCGCGGCTCGGCCGGCTCTGGCGCAGCCTCACCCGCCGCACCAGCTCCTGGGTGGAGTCACCCGGCGGGCCCAAGGAGGGCAGCGCGCCACCCGCAGCGGAGGCGCCCTCCCCGGAGAAGCCGGGCGCTGCGCGCATGCAGGAGGAGGAGCGCCGCTCGGCCGCGCTGTCTCCAGGGCTGGCCCCTGCGGAGCGCCTCCTGCTGGCCGAGGGGGCGCGCCGCCTCTCTGGCCTCAGCCGCATGCGCAATCGCGCCAGAGAGCGCAACGAGCAAGCGCAGGCGCACCGCCTGGACCGCGCGCTGCATCGCAGGGCCCTTCGCGCGCACAGCCATCCGCGCACGGGTCTCGCCTCCCCTGATCCTGGGCCCGCGGTGCCCAAGACCGCCCCGGCAGCCGCATGGCCGGGGGGCCTCCCCAGGACGCAGTCGGCGCCTTCCTGGGCCCCCACGCCGCACTACCCTATGAGCGGGCCCCTGCTCTGGAGCAGCGACACCTCGGCGGACCAGCCCACGGCCGGCCCGGCGTCGACGCCTTCCAGCGAGGGGCCTTCGTTGGGTAGGGGGGATGGCCCCAGGGGGGCGCCGGCTGTGGCTGCGGCAAAGAAGTCCCCGCTCGGGCTCCCGCCAGCGACTGCCCCTGGGCCGTCCGTAGAGGGCAGCGAGGACAGTGTGCGCGACGGCGGCAGTGGGGGGTCCCCCGGGCGCTCTTCCCCCAGTGCTGGTAGCAGCAGGGACGGCGGCACCTCGTACGCCACGGGGGTGTCTCTGGAGCCGTTGCTCCGTAGCAGTAGTGGCCTTTTCCTGCCGTGGGGAAGCGCCAGCCTGCGCGACAGCCCGGACGGCAGGGAGGGGGAGGGGGGGGCGGGCGCAGAGGCCGGGGTGAGCCCTGCTGCCTGGCGCGGGCTGCCGCTGGAGGCGCGGCTGCACACCATTGACGTAAAACAGCTGTTCCTGGGAGCGGAGGTGGCGGCAGGCGCGTTTGGGCGGATCTTCCGGGGGCAGTACAAGAAACGAGAGGTGAGCAGAGCAGGGCAAGGGTAAAGCACGCAAGCCTGATGACCGGCAGCAGCCATGCCGGTGTTGTGTGGCTACTCCAGCTCTGGGTGGACTGGCTTTAGTGACGTGGCGGGTGGCTGGCTGGTGGTGGTGCAGGTGGCGGTGAAGGTGCTGCGCATGACGGCGTCGCAGGAGGCCGCGGACGCCATGGCGCACCAGTTCCAAAACGAGGTGGGCAGCACGTCTCACTTGGTCGGCGCAGTGTTCTTGTCGTGTACCTTCAAACTCTTTCTCTACAAATCAATCAGCACCTTCAGCAAGACGTTCGCGTTCTAATGTTAGTCTGAGGGGCATCACAGAGTTGCACGCTGCTCTGCTCACAGTGGCGGATAGCGCAGCTTCGACCAGCAGCGCCGCGGACGACCTTTGGGGCCCATTCACACGAAGCCCGCGGTTGTGGTGTGCGCAGGTGGGCATCCTGTCGCAGCTGGAGCACCCCAACATCGTCAAGGTGAGCACGCGCACCGCGGTTGCGAGCAAGTGGGAAGATTGCGCAATCGGTCTTTGCATGCTCGTTGGTTGCAGCGCCCTGCTGTCCTGGCCCCTCCATAGGCAGTGGCGTCATGGGCTACGCGCCCCCTCATTCTCGGATGCTGAAGCTTGGTACCAAAGTGGGTCCCGCAAAGCCCAGGTAACGCTAGCCCCCAAAGGATTGGAAGGGCGAAGGGCATTGTTCTCGTCCTGGGCGCTGTCCCATGCTGGGGCCGTCACTTCGAACGCGTGGTCCGCCTGCTGCAGTTCGTGGGCGCCTACTGCTGCCCCCCCGTGCGCACGCTGGTGATGGAGTACTGCCGCGGCGGCAGTGTGCGCCACTGGCTGCGCCTGCGCCGCGGCCAGCTCATCCCCCCGCTGCAGCTCCTCGACATGGCCGCCGACATCGCCCACGCCGGCGCGTGAGGCCGCCGCCCTCAGCTCTGCTATCTTGCCCGAGACGCTGCTGGTGACGTGGTGACGGGGTGGTCTCTGCCTGAGGCTCAGCAAGAGCGAGCCAGTACGTACTGATGTCGCGTGTGGCGACACTAGGTTGCTCGCTCTCGCTGACGTCGCTGTCCCGTGTGCAGATACCTGCACTCGCAGGGCATCGTCCACCGCGACCTGAAGACGGAGAACCTGCTGTTCACGGCCGACGGCACCATCAAGCTGGCCGACTTTGGCGAGGCCGTCCGGCTGGGCCCAGCGGGGACGGCGCGCGGCGAGATTGGGACCTACCGCTGGATGGCGCCGGAGGTGAGCGCGCGGCAGCAGCGTCGCAGCAGGGCGGGGCGAACCACGTGTCCATCATGGACAGGGCGGGGGCTTGCGCGTGTCCGTCACCGAGGAGTGTCCGAGAAGAAGGTTGCTCGTTGGTGGCATCAGCTGAAGCTTTGTGTTGGGGCACGCTGGCCTCTGCAGAGACACCGCCCACTAAGACAGGAGCTTACACCATCCGAGGTGCTGCGCCATAGCCGAGTCGAAACAGCGGATCCGCCATTGCCTCCCAGACACGCATTCAAGGATTGAGCTTGGAGGAGGTGGACTCTTCGGGGGCGATCGACCCGGGCGGGCGTCGGTTTACATCGGCGTGGTCGGCTGCGCAGGTGTTGGCGGGCAAGGCGTACGGCGGTGCGGCGGACGTGTACAGCTTCGCGCTGGTGCTGTGGGAGCTGCTCACGCTGCAGCTGCCCTTCCCCGACATGACCGGCATCCAGGCCGCCTTCGCCGTCGTCGCGCGGGTGAGCCCCACGCACGCGCCGCCCTGCTGCGCCCCTTCGTGCCGCACATGGACGGCGGCCGCCCTGCGCTGCGCCCCCTCTGGCGGCCTGCGTGTTGCTCACTGCTGCGTGGGTGCGTGCAGGAGGCGCGGCCGCCCGTCCCGGCGCACTGCCCCCCGGGCCTGGCGCGGCTGATGACGGCGTGCTGGGCGGGCAACCCGCGGCGGCGGCCCACCTTCGACGACGTGCTGGCCATGCTGGCGCGCGCCGCACCCGAGCTGGAGCAGGAGGACGAGGGGGGGCCGCGCACGGGGCGTACGGCGCGCTGCTGCTGACCCGGATCGCCGGGGCAAGCACGATTGGACAGAGGAACGTCTGAGATGTCGCGAAGAGATCACGATTGGCCTGCGGCAGGGCTGGTTCTTTGACCTACCGGGCCTCGTTGCAAATGACAGTCCGCCTGAAGCGCAGGTGCCCGACTGAAGCATAGGACCAAGGCGTTGATGGACGAGCGGTGCTCGAGCGGTCAATCATACATCCAGGCATACGAAGTTGTAATAGCCGACATTGAATTAGGGAGCCATACTTCGGATGGAGTTAAGTTGGAGATTATACTTAAGTCGCTTACTGTTTTTCCTTGTCCGTTAGCTCCTGATGAAGCTGCCTTGACTATCTGAACATTCCATCTTCGGATACGGTTCCATGCGCTCTCAATTTTCTGAGCGTCCTCTGCCTGCATCCATAGCTTATGCTCCTGTTCATTCTCAGAGTCCTAGCAATGCTCGAACACTTGTAGCTCGTTTCAGTTGCACCTGCTGTTGTACCGCTGGACAAGTCATTGCGAGCTATGAGCAAGCTTCAACGCCACAAACTGACACGCCATGCAATTTGGGCCCGGCTGGCAGAGATTGCTGTAGTATACAACGGCAAACGGGCGTGAGTACAGCAGTGGCACCCCAGCTATAGCAAGTGCAGCTGCGCGCCCGAGTATATAGGCCATGGCTGGCATGGACGGTCTCCATTGCACGGTCCAAACAGCATGCCCGAGCATTCTGGACAGCCAAGCTCTCATCGAAAAATCCGCTTAATTGTATCAAGGGTCGGACGATTCAAAGTATAAAGCTGCTGATTCGCGATTAATTGGAATGGACACGCTGCAAGCGATCTACCAGATTTGCGCTGAAGTATCACAAAACAACAGGTGAACACGTTCACGCCTTGACTGCTGCCGCGCAGGCGGGACATGACACATACCAGATCAATTGACGTATTCGACTTACAGGGCATAGACCTCGTGTTAGTGTCACCATTTTACGCTTCTTCAATCAATTGGATCTAATGGAGGCCATCAGTGCCAGTGTCTAACATATCAACCCATAGAGTTTCAATCAATTCTGCCGACTTTTGACTAAGTGTCGACGATTATCCAGTCTGTCATTAAACTGGCGTTGAATCCCAGCGCCGCTCGTAGTTGTCTCCATAGACATTTGAACAAAAAGTTACGAAATAATCAGCCGAGCCAGAGACTGCTTTGCAACGTTGTCAGTATAATGTTGATGAGAACGTACGAATAGTACCTTGTTATCTCAATCATTCAAATCATCCCTTACTCCCCTTCGTACTCGACCAAGACAAACAGTGGAGTGTTCCCAAGCTTCTCACGGCCCTGCACACGCACAAGTCAGGAAGTAGATGTCAACTGTCGGATGCGCTGCAACCTTGCAGGACAAGCAAGCACAGACAGGTCCCGCTTGAGGACCCTGGTGCACTACTGGACGCGGGTGCCACGTCTTGAAGCAGAAGCGAACTACATCCGATCTTGTGCAGCTTGCTCCAGAAAGGTGGCGCAGCAAAACCACTTTCGAAACGAAAATGGGCCTCAAAGGAAGTATTGCCTGAATTGTCCTCTTTATCCCCAGAGCCAGTCGCTTTAGTCTGGGCCCCCTTCGCATGGTCGAGTCAGGGCGACAGGCAGGGACCACACTGCGGAGGAACCGCTTCTGGTAGAGCCATCGCAGGGACAGGCTGCAGGCAATTCAATAAGAGCCTGTCCTTGTCTGTCCATGTCAACTCACCTTCAGATCTGTGAGCTCTATCAGACAAGCAGTCTCCACGACCTTGCCCCCAGCTTGGTCTGCAGAACAAACGCCGTCCTACATCAGAGGCTGGACGGCATTCAAGGGACATGCGTCTGCAAGTATCACCACGAGCCTGCGGGAACAAGGCCACCCACAGCCTTCTGTCCTGACCCGCGCAAAGCAATGGGAGGCACTTCCGGACAAGCAGTTGGCGGCAGTGCTCCTGTGGATGAGAGGCAAGAAAGGCGGCCCGTGCTGCGCACCGATGAGCGCGATGCCTGCTCCCATGGTGCCCCCCGTGGCAATGAGGTCGTCGATGATGACAACGCGCTCCCCCGCCTGCACCGCGCCCACGTGCATCTCGATCCGGTCGGTGCCGTACTCGAGCGAGTAGTCCACACCAATGGTCGGACCTGCACACATTCAAAGCACCTCGGTGGGACAGCTCGTGGCGAATGTGAGGGGACCGCCAGACAGGCAGCAAACAGTTGACAGCAAGGGACAGCAGTGAACCTCAGCACCCCAGCGAAGCTGTGGAAGATGCAGGATGAGAACCCCGGCTTAAACGGGAAGTGGTGAAGGACTGTCTTGTTTATTGTCGACGGAAAGTTCTAATGCTGTTCGAACAGACAGCTGCGATTGACCAGTAGATTCATCAGGGCATGCTGCAGACCAGCCGGTAGCAGCTGCGCCTTCACCTGGGAGCTTCCGCGGCTTTCGCAACGGAACAAACTTGGCGCCCAACGCCAGGGCCAGGGGAGGGCCAAAGATGAAGCCGCGAGCCTCGATCCCTGCAAATTGCAACAGCTGGAAGTACTCTGTTCCAGGAAACAGCATAAATGTGCACCCATAATCTGCCCAACGCAACTACATTGCATAATGCTGGGTGCATCCTCCAGAATGGAAAAGCAAAAACCTGCCAAGAGAAGCCCCCTGACAGCCCTGACTGCAGCAAAGGGATGACGTGCGGGGCTTGCCTGCCACCACCTGGATGCCCTGATCCTTGTAGCGCGCGACAAAGAGGTCAATGGAATCCTGGAAGGCTGCTGGATCTAGGAGCAGGGTGGTGATGTCGCGAAACATGATACCTGCACACAGCACGCGCAGCCTCTCAGCAAGTGCCCAATGCTGAACAAGTCAAAAGCTCAACCACCATCGCAGCACCTTGAGGACATCTGAGACGTCTGCGCAAAAGATCCAAACAAAACAATAGGTGGGGCCTCCTGTCTGCTTACCTTTCTTGGGGAAATCTGGAATAGCGCGGATAGCATTGCTAATGCGAGCAATGCGCGGGTCCGCCATCTTTTCAGTCTTCGGGCACTCAAAAGTCTTGTTCAAAGGTCTCGGACACAGATCACTGATCAGCCCTGGAGCCCTGCGTATGGGCCTGCAGATCCCCACGATCTGTGTGCAGCTTCTGATTCTCAGCCTTCTCAGCCTTCTCAGCAGGCATTCATAAAACTGGGTTTACCGTAATACAAGCACGTGAAAGACGTGCGCCGCTACAAATTTATAAACACCGTATATCGGAGATAATGCATGGCTTGACAAAAATTGGTAATCCCCGGGCGGTTGTCACAGGGAGGTACCGGGCACACTAAAAACCTAGGATAGAGTGACCGCCACACCCTAATGTCACTGGGAAGTGCCCGGTTGTCACTGGGTTGCCCGTGAGACCCTAATGTCACAGGGAGGGCCCGGTTGCTCGCCGGGCGGTACGCGAGACCCTAATGCTAGTGGAATTGCAGTGCTGGTGGCACCCGGGGCAAGTCGTCGCGAACCACCACCTCCTCCAATAAGGGGCGCCGCCGTTATGTAGGATACTGCAGCAACTTTCAATGTGGGTCGAGACTCACTCGACCGTCACGGTCGCGTCGAGCACGGTCGATATCGGACCGTGCGTTGCCCATCGTACAGTGTGCGGTGCGACGCCGGTGCTACCAATTTTGTCAGGCGTGCCGTTTTGCACACATCCTGACAAATTTGTCGAGCGACGCGTTATCTACGATTTAGGTACGATAATTTAATTTGTCAGGTGGTTGATTATCGCATGGAAATAGGTAAGCCACTTTCCTAATACCGTACTGCTATTTGATTTCGGCACCTTCGACGCCGAATAATTAATTATGAAACTTTCCGTCCTTTCGGCAGACCAATGGTTACCTGCTAAAATAACCATTATCGACCCATTATCGCCTGAAAATATTTTCTGAAATTTTCGGCAGGCCGAAGAATTATTTATTTATTGCCGAAAATAAATAGCAGTACGGTACTTCTAGGCTTCTGATCGAGAACCAAGCTTCTGACACTGACGTACAGAATTCCGCAGATGATAACTACGGCCACCCGCGCGCGACACGTCCGGGCGGCCGCCGTAGCCCCGCTTGGCATTTTGCGCGAGGCGGATCGGATATGCGGCACGTCGCACAGCGGTACTTGAGGGATCCCTCAAAGATGTAGGTTCCGCTACCGTCGAGCCATACGTCAATCAGACAATCATGCTACTGCCTTATAAAAGAAGTATGTATGGACAATCTGGAAATGGGGCTATGGCCCGGACGCGCGGAACATGGGCGATTACCTACCTACTAGGCCACTGAGGCCGGAAATATCTCGAAACACTTCGACAACTTCAGGAATAGTAAGCTTCAGAAACACAGGAATAGTAAAATCACCAGCCTCAGTAGGACGGGACCAGGACGGGTAGGGTTAGTTTGGGGGTTTAGGGTGGGTATGGGTGCGGAGCAGGTAATTTTAATAGGTTAGGTTTTTAGTGTTTGGTTTGAGCTTACTATTCCTTGAGCTTACTATTCCTGAAGTGTCGCGACATGACTGGGAAGTGCCGTCCGAGTTGCTTCCGGATAGCACCTCGGTACTAGCTTTTTTTTTGGCCCAGCTTTGCGGACTCAAAAAATGTAGACTCACTACAAATGAAGACAGCCGCATGGACCGCAAAAGCAAATCACACTGTTCCATCTGGCGAAAGTCGCCACTGCAAGGAACCGGTACCACCTCGCAAGAAACGGCACTCTCAGATACAGAGTCGGTTAACTTGGAACAACCAGTATTGACTCACATGCAAATGCTAGACTAAATGCTGAAATGCTACAGTCCAGGCGCAAGCCAGCGCTGTACAAGTACCGGCTGCTCAAGTTTCACATTAAACGGCCAAATAGCTCACCTTACAAGCAATTCCGTCGACACCAATTGGCCTGACAAGTTGCAAACATAAATCCCCCTCGTATATGGTGTGGCGTGACTCCAAAGCCAGGCGCATTGATAGAAGGACGATGACGAAGCGTATTACCTCCACCACTAGCTGGCTGGGACATGACGACCACAAGCCATGCCGAGAAGTCAAATCGTCTTTGGAATAAAAGCGGTCAACGAGAAACGCAAACGAAGATCTGGCGGCATACATGCTGACGGGACAGATGACGGTACCAACTCGGATGCTGGCACCACAGTAGTGGCGTCAGTACCAGAGCCTCATGACCCCTTGAAGCGTGGACTCAATGCAGGCGTTGCGTCCGGACCGCGTCGGCGGGGCACGGCCGGCTGTCTATGTGGATACGCGGCCATCATGCTGAATTATGCTTTATTGTACCAGTCACCCGTGTGAACTTTTTCATTGCGCTACCGCGTATGCCAGTCAGCAGTCCCCAGCATGACGAGCTGCTTACGGGCAGATTGTTGAAAAAGAAAGGGGGGGAAAAAAAGGACAGCACCTCGGTACGGTACCGGGCTGCAACTTGCCTGAGTCCGAAGAAACCGGCAAAACCGTTGTGCAAAACCGCGCCAGCGGGCCAGCGGCCGCGGCTTTCCGTGTCGCCGCCAGGCACTGCTAAGCCGCCGCGCCGCATCTGGTGACAGGGAAGCAGGCGGGGGAATGTTCGTCTGCCTTCAAATACAGTGAGTACTAACGGCCACGATAGATTGACCGTGCAGAGGCACTTTAGGCTTGAGGAATGCTTTAGTTCAACATTTAAGTTGAAGCGACAATTAGGCAAGTCCGGCAAGATGAAGAAGCGCGCACGCGCGCGCCTCAGGCTGTCCTGCGGCCGCCGGCCGACGACTGTCGCAAAAATACTAAACCGTCCCTTGCGTGCGAATTTACTAAAATAAGGCTGCGTCAGCCTATTCAAGTCAAGCGTCTTCTAAAAGGGGCGTTGTTCAAGCTGAGAGAAGGAGGCGCCTGGCAAGGCGCAAAGAGGTGATATTTGTCTATCTGAGTGGTTTTCACACTCAGCCAAGACCCCCTCGTGCGGACT